CTGAAGCTGCTGGGAATTGGAAGTCTCTCTGTTACTTCCTTTCTCTCCTTTACTGACAAGTAGTTGATAATGCAGTCAGTCTGAACTATATACATTGTGCTGTTTAACACTACAAGAAGAAACATCTCTCAAAATGGAAAGATATCTAATTCAATTTTCTGCAAAGGCTAGTGATAAATGAATATATTGATCCTGAAAATGTCATAGAAACGAACATAACACAATCAATTTGGTCCATAATCGAACAATGTCAATGATTGCCAAATACTGATTTTGAGCTGCGACAATCACTAGTTATACAAAGGTGACAGTGGTAAAACTATGATCTTGCAGCCACAATCCCAATCTAATATATTGTAACAACATGCATAAGAATTGCATCACATGAAACAATTTACGCCATTAGCCAGACTAAGTCACATCACTAGTTTGTGTTCATTCCTCAGAGTGACAGAAATTAAGTCTACTCTCATGAGAGAAAAATGACAAGAAAGCCAGGTGAATGGGATATATATATATATATATATATATATATATATATATATATACACACCCACACACTGCCCACTTTAGGAATCACTGCTCTAAACTTATGTAAAGTGAAGTTAACACTGAAGTTTATCTTTCAATATATACACAGTATAACAATTAAGTAAGGGTTTGAGTTGTCATTTGTCAAAAGCAAAAGAAATTAGTTTAGACTTGAGAAAAAAAACATTGTTGATGCTCACAAAACAGGAAAAGTATATGTGGCAGAGTGGTTAGAATGTTTGCTTTCTGACCATGGGACATGAGTTCGAATCTCACTACGAATCTTTCTTCATATATATATATATATATATATATATATATATATATATATATATATATGAATGATAGCTGGCCACTCTATATATATTTTGATAAGCTGAAATTTACCTCGAAGAAAGAAAATGAAATACATTGAGGAATATTTTTTAAAATAATAAATTATGTTAGTTATACAGTTTTTAATTTCCCCAGTGATTTTTAACTTCTATCTTTTGACAAAAAACCTGTGGTGTGCCAAAAAGAAACTCTGCAATTTTTGTCTCTTATTCCGTCTCTGTGTTGCATTTCCCACCTCAAAAAGGCATTGTGCTACATCACAGCCATATGTTTATTTCAGAGAACAAAATTCAAAGATTGTGGTCCCATTGATCATGATAGGGACCAAATGTTTTTCTTTTTAAATTCACTTATTATTTGACAGCAATAAACATTAGAGGGCACTTTTTATCAATGGCATAGTAATCTTTGGCAACTGTCAGTAATTGCAGGTGATGCTGTATCTGTCTATAAAAAGAAAGAAAAGAAACCCTTAAATTATTTTTGCACCTTTGGGTAAAGTTCAGGATGATAAAATATTTCTAATTTCTCTGGGATGCTTACTTTTACTCAGTCTTTCAAACAAGAACATTAATATCCAATGTGATAAAAATAAATTTGTTTAATGTGTGGATTGCTAAATTGTAACTGAGCACATATTTATTACTACAATTTTTAATAAAAATATAATCAAGACAATGTAATTGAGAGTATATTGTTCATAGCCAGTTATTTCAATCGACATTGGACATTTTTTTTTCTTTTTTCAGATGATACCCTTTCACAAAAAACAAACAGCAAATAAAAAAAAACACAGAAAATAAGATTTTTTCTTAATATTACTGGTGATGGTGGTGAAGAAATTTAATGATTAAAAAATAAAGATTTTCATTTGCCATCTTTGAAAGCTTAAATGGAAAATCCAGCAGAAGGCTTATCATTGGTCTTTTTGCAGCATCAATGCAACATGATGATTCCTTTGTAATAAAATATTATTTTATACAACACAAAGCATTTTATAAATACAGGATACAATCATCAGGTAGAGGGAGCTTATTTTTATGTTCATCATAAAAGGTAAAAAAAATAAATAAATAAAAAGTAAACTTTTGTGTTCATTGATATGCTGGACATATATAAGTTGACAAGACTTAAACTTGCAATATGAAGAAGTGAAAATAGTAAAAGAGTCAAACATTTGAGGATCCATTCTGATTGAAAATGTGAATGTTAGCAAATATATTATTAAAGCCATATATACAAGATAATCTTGATTTATATTGTTACTTGTTGAAATATTGAGAAACACACACATACACTCCTTCACAAATCAGAGAATAATATAAATCATAATAATAATAATATATACTCATAAAAATATGAAGTCTGATTATTTTGTTAAATCCTTAGAACTCAAGGTCACTTTTATAATGATATCAAGAAACATGCTGTCAAACATGAGTCGGTTTACAATAGTGCAAATGTATTTATATAACAGATTCTACAAGTATCATACTGTAAGAAAAGCTTTTACATAGTTTCAGCATCTGACAAACCAACTTTGAATTTGATAAAATTTAAAACATTTGCCTCAACTCAGTTCTGCCACTGGAGCCATATCTTCAAGTGCAAGAACGATCAAAACACAGACAAAAAAGACATATTGATAGATATACAGAGCGATAAAGTTGGAAACACAAATACATGCTAAAAAAGTGGACTTTACAAGTATGAAAGACGACTGCTTTTGGTACAGTTACAAAACTACTTCCTGCCCAGGTGGAAAATTAAAATAATGAAGACAGAACTTTAGATCTTACAGTCACCAGTTTGCTGATCTAACTACCAAACTGAAATTCCAGAAATACAAAGATATGGACCAACTGTTTGCTTTATAACCAAACAAAACAGAATAGAAAATCAAATTTATTGATAGAATCATTAAAGAGAAAATTATAAAATTCATTATTTTTTAATCATTTCACCTACAAGCAAGGCAATAAAGCCACTAAGACACAAGTGGTTACTGAGTGTGAAATATGAGAAAAATCATTGAGAGGGTGATAAAATAATAGGATTCAAAGAGAGAGGAGATGACAACTGATGTTGCATATAAATTTTTGAAGAAAATTTTTGGAAAGCAAGACGACAGAAGAGAATTCCCTAAGTGAGATGTATTTATGAAAATATATTTTAGAATTTCTGCTTTAAATCATGATTTTTCATTGAACTGTTTGAGTTACGGTTTAAATATTAATTGTAAAAGACTCTACTAAAGAAATATCTTAAAGCAGCGAGGGAAGAGCCCTAAAGAAATCTCATTAATACCATATAACACTTAAATATCTACAATAGTTTTCTTTCTGATTAGTTTCCTTTACTCAACCCCTTTTTATAGTTGTATTAAATACGTTCAGAGGAAATAAAATTCATATTTAGTAATGTACAAAATAAATCTTGAATTCTCAAGTCTTTTCAAATTTATCAGAACTTTGCCAATATGGTATTACTAATGTTTTAGCAAAAATTTTAAAATTATGCTCAGTATCTTATGCATATTTGGGAAAGAAATTTTTCTCAGTAGAAAAGAGATTGAATAAAAGCACTTGCTGTAGTGATTGACATGTTGGTCTTGCAATTGAAGAGTCTGGCCTTAAGACTGATTAGGAGTAATGATAAGCATGACAGTCATACAAGTCAATGAAATGAAAATGGTCATCAATCAAAATTGGTATAAGAAGGAAATTATTGTGATTCAGTTGGTTTCCCCTATTCAAAATGAATTAGTTACTGAAGGCTCTCAAAATGCAAACTTTTGCCAAAGTCAGCTTCATTCAATAACACTCACTGTAGTGTACCGATTAGTGAGCTCATTTGACAAGCTGTTCAAAAGTGAGTTTATCCTTTACTGTATAGTCTAAGATATTGACTTTGAAAGTTGGATGATTGCTCAAATAGATTCATAACAAGTGCAACCATGCAGTTAAAGATGCTTTCCAGAGATAAAATATTTTTTCTCTTGATAAGTAAAGCACAGACATTCCTTATTATTTTTTTCATTCCTACGAAAAAAAAGAATAGTTTCCAGCTATAAGAATGATCTTTTGGTTTGTTCTTACTCGGGATAAAAAAGTGAAAATAAATTTATGAAATACAAAAGGGTAAGCGTAGAGAACTGTCATTTTAGTTAGGATTTTAGCATCTGATGCCGAAAACCTTTTAATTCTTTAGATAATTATATTCTTAAAATATTTAACAATCAAAACATAAGTGGCACAAATCACTCTTCCACGCATACAAACAATAGCAAATTAAATATATTTTTTAATAAATTTTGATCTTAAAAAGCTACCAAGCAATGAACAGTTTTTTTTGTCTTCTATTTTTGTAAGAACGGATATAATTAACAGCTTACCAAGATTGTTTTTCTATAATAATGATCCAATTTGTTTTTTTGTGTATTTTTGTTAGAAAATTTTAACAGTAGTGTACTAATTTGCAAAATAAAGGAATTTCCAGTTCAATTGTGTATTCAGGCTTAGAGTAAGTTTTAAATGTATAGTGGCAGAAAAATCCAAGAGAGATAACTCCAAATTTATTAACGGCTAATTACAGAGTTGTTTTTCCTATTATTAAAAAAACTAATAGGAATTAGCAGGAAAAAAATTAATTAAAGTTTAGTTATTAATGATTGAAAATAATTATAATATAAGCAAGTGTATATGAATAAATTTATTGTTTATTTTACTTTATTTATTTTGAAAAATGTATGGAAGAAAAATGAAATCAGAATATTATGACAATAAAATAAATGGGAAGAATATATTTAAAATGCACATATTGGAAACCACCTAAACATGAAGTGGTGAGAGAAAACATTCTCGAATCAATAGAAAAAAAATCAGTTAGTATTGGAAATTTTTGTTTATTTTGTATTTTATACAATCCCATAAAAATGAGGAAGGAAAAAAAGGAGGAAAAAAAAAGACACACATACAGCAGCCATCTTCTAAGTGCTTCAAATTAAATTATTTTTAATCATATTTGTCTTTAGAAGCACTTTCTGATTTAAAAAAAAAAAAAAAAAAAAAAAAATTTAAAAAATGGCCGGCCAGAGTAGGACTGGTGGAAAACTGAAATGTAGTAAATTTCTTTTATTCAGGTGGAAGTCCTTCCCAAAAATTACTGAGGGAAAAGAAAGAAGTTATTGAACTAAAGGTAAAAAAAGAAAAAGACAAACGAAGAAAGCTCCTTCCTTGACCACTGTTAGATATGAGGTAAAAATGGGAAGAGCATCACCTTAATTAGTGTGATGATGTGGATGATGATGATGATGATGCAGTACATTGTAATGATTCAGTGGGAATTGGAACTCACTTGTTCTTCTTGATGTGGCCTGAATTTTTGTCAAAGCAGACAGGCCGGTTGGTATCTGTCAAGTGAAAAATGCTGGTGACATGGGTTTGTGTGGTGCTTGAAGAACACAACTGGACAGAGCCATAGCAGCAGGTGATGATGACAATAATGAAGGTGAGGATGATTATGATGATGATGATGATAATAATGACCATTTTCTGCTAGGTTTATTATAATGCTTGCCTTTCTTGGCTTCTCCCAACTAAGGCAGTGGCTCCAGGGAAAACTTGCTTTAAAAAAAAAAAAAAAAATGCAGAGCCTTTTCATCTAACAATTGATATTTTTTTCTTTTTTTTTAAATCTAGCTAACATTCAATTAAATTAGCAATGCTTTCTTGGAATTACAAAAAATTATTTCTTAGAGCATAAAATATAAAGATTTTTGTTTAATTAAACCAACGGAACAAAATACAAATCCACAGGTAGTAGTAGTAGTAGAGAAAAATGGCAGTTGAGGAGATAAACATCTACAAATCTTTCAAAACAAAAGCAGAAGGGCATAAGATGTTTTTTTTTTTTTAAATCTTCCAAAATACTAACTTTCAAAGATGTCCAACCACACTAAAATTGTGGTATGCACATTATATATATTATATATATATTATATATATAATAAAAATAAAGTATAAATTTATTTTGTTTGTTTTAAAAAAAAACAAAACCAAAGAAAAACTGTTGTTAAGAGAAAGACTTCTTCATTGTTCAAATATAACTGATTTAGAGACAAGAGAGTAGGGAGAAAAGGAAATCAGATAATGAATAAATGACTGAATTTTCTTGTCTTTTCTCTTGGTTGTCAATTTGAATTCAGGAGGAAAATAGGAAAAAGTTAAACTACCAGAATAAAAATTCTATTTATGGAACATAAACTGACTAAAATTTTTTTTATGTGAGTGTTGGAGAAGAAGGGGGCCATTTTTTTTTTTTTTTTTCATTTAAAAAAATTATTTTTTTAATTTTTTTTACAGTTATTTTATTTGGAAAAATATAAAAACATTGTATGTTAAAAGCAAATAAATATAGTGAAAATAAATATAGCAGCAAGAGGGACATATACAGCCTGCTTGTATGTATGTGTGTATGTGAGTGAATGCATTTTAAGTTTGGTGATAAGATTTGGGTGTAATAATAGGTAAGAGAAATGATGATAAGTGGGTTTAAAAAAAAAAAGAAAAAAAGAAAAAAAAGAAAAGAAAAGAAAAAAAAAAAAAAAGCACCTGCACTAATCCACCCAGTCACATAAAAATTCAGCTTGTGGGGAGGGAGGACACAAAAAAATCTGTACAGAAAGCTGCATTGTAGAATGTTGAATGAATGTCTTGGTTGGTGGCCAGCAGTAACAGCAGGCCAAACTGGTCAGCCAGTAACCACCAGTTGACCAATCAGACACTGGCTTGTGTTATTCTTCACTTGGACAGACACAAATCAAAAAGCAATGGGAGAGAGAGAGAGAGAGAGAGCCACACATGGAGTTGGTAATAGGCAAAGAGCACAAGAAGAGAGAGAGAAGATGGTAAGCCCAACAGAAAGGGTGGAGAGAGAGAGAGAGAGAGAGAGAAAGGAAGAGGTATTTTTGAAATGAAAGTACAATAGAGGAGGAGGAGAAGGAGAAGAAAGAGGAAGAAAGCAAAAAGAAAAGAGTGAAATGCAGACAGAACTTTTGTTTACTCTCCCTCTCTTGACTGTGCTGAAATATAATGAATTCTATTGCAGTGGGAAGTCAAGTGATGAGTAGGTGGCTATCTTTCCCATTAAAAATAATATTAGCAAAGAGCAGAGAAGGAAAGAAACATTTTGTTGCATTTCATTTCATTTTGTGTTCTCAGAGGATTTGTCAGGAAAATAGAAAATGTGAGAAGGAAGAGGTAGAGAGTAGGTAAGGGAGGGTAACCCGCTCCCATCTACAAGTACGACTGCAACTATAATGAACTATAATTCCACTAAACTTGCTCAAGGAACAGCATGAATGTAAGTATGCAGATATATACAAACTGATGTGAGAAGAAGGAAAAGGGGGTGGGAGTAGTTGCTGTCTTTACATGGGGGAGGGGAGGGCTGGTGTGGAATGGAAAGTTGGGTATTGAGGGAAGAGGCAAAGGTGATGTGAGAGAGAAAAAGAGGGAGTAGAAAGGGTGCAGGCTAGGAGACCATTTCCATGCTATAAGCTGACAGTTCAGAGTTGATCATAGATGATGACGATTCAACTGGCACATTGTTCTCCACAACTTCTTTACTTGTCAGACCATTGCAAGCTTTAGGATGCGAGTCATTGCCATTGTCTGAATCGCCGTCTTCTAAGCCAGGCTCAAGTTCCATAAGTGAATTGTCCTCCTCTTCGACATCCTCCTCTTCCTCCTCTTCTTCTTCGACATCCTCCTCCTCCTCCTCTTCAAATTCTTCCTCTTCTTCCTCCTCTGCCAGAAGATCCAGAGCACTTTCATCTGTTGCCAATTCTCCATCAGCAGAAATGTCCATCTGTTGGTGATGGTTGTTGTTGTTGCTGCTGCTGCTGTGGTTCAAAGCACTGGTTGAAGTTGTAGCGGATCCATTTGACAAGCTACTGTGACACAATGGCACTTTGCATTTAAAACATACATAATCATCGTCCTCTCCAACTTCATCTTCTCCGACCCCAACACATAGGAGATGGAACCACAATTCACATCGGTCACACTGTACCCAATTCACTTCATCTCCTGGAAAAAAAAAAAAAAAAAAAAAAAATTCTAACATAAAACAAAAGAAAGACAGAAAAAAAAAAAAAAAATCTGAAAGACAGTAACAAGTGGAACAAAAAATATGATACTAAACATTATTTCATTGTCTACTATTTTATATCAGTTTTTTTTATTGTATTTAAAAACTTACAATAAAAAAAAAGTTTCTGTTCATAAACTAACTCATCTTGTCAAGAGTCATTTTCAAATAAAAAAACTGGGCAAATTATATCAGTGTCACAAATTTAATTTTATTTGAATTATACAAGCGGTTAATATTTAATTTGCTTTACAATAGATATCTTGCAACTTTTCTCAATGTAAATATTTTACAATTGGATGGCTTGAATAAAAGTTTACAGAATTTTTTTTTTTAACCTGTCAGTCATCTAGAATGTCTTAGTTAATTTGACATTTTAGATTTTAACACTATTGTATCAAAGTTCCAATTATCTGTTTATTAAACTTATCAGTTGAAATTTAGAGCTAATTTGCCTCAGAAAAATCTGATGAGTAACAGAAATAATTTCAAGGAAAAATGTAGGCAGTCAAGGTTTAATAAAAATGCATGCCATATGCAAGATATTCGTCATTGCATTACTTGCAATAAGGATAATCTATTTGTCTAGATGAGGTTAATTTTTTTTATGAAATATGAGAGAGGAGCAAATGAGTCCTGAAGAGAGTCAAATGAATCTTAAAATAAGCTGCAATTATTTGTATCCTACCTAAAAAAAAAAAAAAAAAAGCCATATTATCAAAATTGATATAATTTGGGATTATCACTAATTAAAAAGGTTCAAATATGAAATTTGTTGATAAAATTAACCTATTCATAGGTTTGATATCATGAGGAGTGGTTTTTCCCTTTGATGTATTTTGAATATTTAAAGTATTGTGAGAAGATTGAAAAGAAATCTTAAATCTCATTTTAAATTTTAAAAAACACAATAATAGATATTTTATCCTAAAGCTGAAAATACGTAATTCAATATAGAAATTAAAAACAAGAAGTTTGTTTATACTAAAGTAAAATCAAAGGTTGAACAAGAATTGGAAAATATTTAAAGATCTTCAACTTGCAGCAGCTAATTTGCCAAAGCCTTTGAAAAGAAATAGCCAAATTCATTTAAAAAAAGAAAAAATCAATAAATTGAGAAAATAAGTTTGAAAAAAGTGGAAATTTGTAAATGTTTTGCTTGTTGGTTAATGAAACTGCAAGAATTAAATGAAGAGGGGTGGGATGAAAGAAGAGGTGCTGTGATGGACAGTTTAATGAGGACACATACTCTCACACACACCTGTAGGTTTGAGACACTTTACTGCAGAGCAGTCGTCGTCATCACCTTCATCATCACCACTTGACGAATTCCCCTTGCTTTTCCTCTTCTCCTTCAAGCTGTTTTTCTTGTCCCCATTTCGACCTGCACCTGAAGGTTTCTGACTTCTCTTTAGTGACTTGTCTTCCTTCTTGCCTTTAGTATCGTTCGAATTTGTGCTGTCTTTAGACTTGCCTAAAATGAAAGCAACCATACACACATGATCAGGGAGGTGAAGAATGAAGCCAGAAATGAAAGGGAGAAGGAATTCAGCAGAATCTGTTGGCAATTTTTAATACCAATTTATTTCTCTGTGATTACTGTGCCACTTAAAGAGATTTAAAATGAAACCAAGGTTGGGCATCTGTTCATCAGGTGGTCATAATTGTTTGCATTTTGACTTGGCTATTCTCTGATCAGATTTTTTTTTTTTTTTTTTCTCTTTTTCTTAGGGATACTGATGTGGGTGGTTGGAAAAAAAAAAAAAAAAAAATCTTTTTCAAATTATTTGAAGTTTGTTTTTGATTTGATGCTCTCTTATTTTCTGGTATTTTTTTTTTTTTGATTTGTGAAGCAATAAAAATATTGGAGTCAATGTCACCAATGTTTGAGAGATAGAAAAAGAAAAGTCACTAGAGCCAGTAGATACTCAATGGCACAAATTATGACATTGTTTTATGGACGACACTTATGCGAATGATAAATGATATTAAAACTTTGTATAAAAGTAACAACCAATATTTCATGGATAGGTAATTATCTATTATCTGTGCTTTGTAAAACTTTTCAAATAAAAGAAAAAGTGAATTGATATTCTAAGCATTTTAAATAAAGCAGTTATGGCAATAAATTAATAAAAAAAAAAAAAAAAGAAGTTACTTTCATAAACTATTATCATTCTTAAAAATAACAGCATCATTTTCAACTTATAATCCTTTTCTTTGTCCATGTGAGGTTTGTAGAACGAATATGGAGGAAAGAAAAATCTTCTTTTGTGTGCAATGTAAGAGCCAAACAGAAAAAGAAAAGAACATGACTAAGTTGACAATTTTCTAACTTCCCTAGCTTTTCTCTATGAACATAATGATTAACAGCAATTATTTAATTATAGCCTCTGGGTATGGCAGATTTTACAAGGATGAAAGACTGCTCAAATTGAGCGCTATTTTGTGATCAGAAATTCATTGACCTCCAAAATTATTAACTCTTAATGAACTGCAATTAATCATTTGGGAGAGAGCCTCGGATGCCACTTTATTAGCAGGTTGTTTTAATAATTGAATCAAACCTGGTGTCATAATTCTATCATTTTATTTACTCATTCAATTGGTAACCACATATTGTTATGGTGAAAAGATTTTAATATACTTTCACCACAGGATAATTTAATAAAGTTTTCTAAGTTAAATAAAATGCTTCCAGATAAATAGTAAAGAGAAATAATAGCAAGAAGAACTTATGTAATTGCTATTTTCAAATTTGCGAGTTAAAGAGAAAATTTTATTTTTGCTGATCCAGAGAATTTCCTCATCATTCTACAAGGCAGCCATTTTGTTTCTTTTTATTCAGAAATGCATCAAGACAAATAAACAAATACAATAAGAAAATACAGAAGAGGAAAAATTCAGAAAACACTTGTTAAAAAAAAAAAAAAAAAAAAAAAAAAAAAGTGTCCACCCAACTCTTGCTTTATATTATTTGTATTGCTCTGAGCTTAAATATCACTTGAGCTTCTTTTTAAGCAATGAAAAGAAATCAAGAACTGAAGAAAATCTTGGTAGATGGTCAATGTTTGAAGAAGGAAAAAAAAAAAAAAATTTTTTTTTTTATTTCTTTCTAATAATTAAATAAAGAAAAAGAAAAAAGAGACTCATAATTAGGTTTACAGTAACCACATTTTTTTCATGTTTCAACAGACTTTTGAACTCACCTTGAGTTATATAAACTTACCTCTGACCTACATATTTCCAGGTTATGTAACTGAATGTTGACATAAGACTTTTCCTCAACACTTCAATTTTGAAATTGTTGCATCACTGCTCCAGATATTTTGCATTTTAAAGGCTTTCAGCAAAATCAAGGCAATTTAAAAGTTTGTTCAACATATCTTTATCATCAGGCAATGATGATGTGAGCAGATGATGGAAAACATACCAATGAAAATATTTGGAAAAGACAGGAAACATGAGGATGGATAATTAATTGGAACAAACTTATAAATGAAACCTTTTTTACTTAACACACACACACACACACACACATGAAAAGCATTCAAATTTTGGAAAATCTAAAAAGGTCAAGACTGCTATTAAGTGTTAAGTATACAGATTAGAATGGATTATTTTTATAAAAATATTCCATTTTTAGTTAGTTGAGAGAGAGAGAGGAAAAAAAAAGGAGACAGCTCATGGATAAAATTAACAATGCAGCCTTTGTGCCCACTCTCACTCTCTCTGAAAGGTGTTAGTAATAAAAAATGAAAAACCACACCCACTTTCTGAGTGAAGGAACCACTGCACACAAAACTATTTGGGGTGGAAGTGGAGCAATAAATTAAAAATTTTAAATTACTGATTGGCTGCATTGGATCAATTAAACAGTTAAGAATATAAAAAAATTGTAAAGTGGAAACAACAGTGTAAAAATTAGGAACACTTAGAAATTGTTTGACAAAATATGTCAGTGAATATACATTGTGTAGAGAGTTTATTTTCAAATAAAATTAGAGTGGAAGGGTTAAAAGTAGAAAAAAAAAAACAAAAAGGTTAGTTCCACTATAGAAAAAAAAAAGCAAAAAGACTTTGAAAAAAGACCAGGTTGTTTATTTACTGTTGCATTATTTTAAACAAGTTGAGTGGTGATAACTGTGCCTCAATTTCTTTCTACCACTATTGTTATCAAACAACCAATTTAATAATTTACACATTTTGTACAACTTTCTGTCATTTACAAATACAAAAGATATCTAATGCCTACACAAGCTGAACAACAGAAATGCTTTAAAGAAGTTTTGTATTTACAAAGTGACTATTTTCAAGTAGAAAATAAAAGCCAACAACAATTGTGAGAGTGCAGAGAAAAAAAAAAAAAAAAGAAGCTAATAATACAAAGACATGACAATGACACTAATTACTGGTGACAACAACAGTTCATTGTAGAATGTTATCACCATTACCTTTCTCTTTGAACTTCATTTCTTTATCCTTAAGTATCAATTTTTTCTTGGTTTTTATAATATTTGGTTCTTCTTTGTTTTTCTTTACTTTGCCATCTGGATTATCTGCTTCATCACTTTTCTTCTTCCGCTTCTTTTTCACTTTTTCTTTATCTTTCTCTTTATTCTTGGAACGGTTTTTCTCTGATTTTTCTTTGAAAAAGATTCTTTCTGAAGATTCCTGAAGAATAACAAGATTTATTTGCTTAATAAACGTGTGAAGGAAATCAGGGAGATACGTGTGAAGGAAATCAGGGAGATACATGTGAAGGAAATCAGGGAGATACGTGTGAAGGAAATCAGGAGATACGTGTGAAGGAAATCAGGGAGATACGTGAAGGAAATCAGGGAGATACGTGCAGAAGGAAATCAGAGGTGAAGGAAATCAGGGAGATACGTGTGAAGGAAATCAGGAGATACGTGAAGGAAAAGGAAATCGTGGAGATACGTGTGAAGGAAATCAGGGAGATACGTGAAGGAAATCAGAGAAGGAAGGAAATCAGGGAGATACGTGTGAAGGAAATCAGGGGAGATACGTGAAGGAAATCAGGGAAGTGTGAAGGAAATCAGGGAGATACGTAGAAGGAAATCAGATACGGAGGAAATAGGAGTGTGAAGGAAATCAGGGAGATACGCAGAAGGAAATCAGGGAGATACGTGAAGGAAATCAGGGAGATACGGGAGAGGGAGATACGCAGAAGGAAAAGGGAACGCAGAAGGGAGATACGTGTGAAGGAAATCAGGGAGATACGTGTGAAGGAAATCAGGGAGATACGTGTGAAGGAAATCAGGGAGATACGTGTGAAGGAAATCAGGGAGATACGTGTGAAGGAAATCAGGGAGATACGTGTGAAGGAAATCAGGGAGATACGTGTGAAGGAAATCAGGGAGATACGTGTGAAGGAAATCAGGGAGATACGTGTGAAACCTCTATTAGATTACTGAGAACTGACTGAAATTCACAAATGGTAACATGCAGTTTCAAGACACTAGTACGGCTTACTCAGAATACATTACAAAATTATACATCTAGTGTATAAACCAAATCTACACTTTAGTCAAAAATTGTTGTGGTTGTAACAATAAAAGTATTCAAAGATGTTTTTGAAGAGAAAACGTTTTAAGTTTCAATCATGTACAGCATTTATCAGTATCTATATATAACATTTATTTAAAAATCACCAATGAATAATATGGTGAACTAAGTTCAATTTGAATCTTACCATAAGTAAGAGAAATACATTTTGCTCTGTATTTTTCAAGAGGATCCACCAGATAGATTAAATTCACTCTAGAGTTTCATTTTGTACCATACAAGTCAGAAAATTGTATGCATATACAACTTATTAAATAAACAGAAAAGGGTTTAGTGAAAATAGTGATTATTGAAATTATTATTCAGTTAATTTAGTTAACATGAAAAGGCTGAAACAGAAATGAAGAGGGGCTTACTTCAAATTCCATGTATTTGTCTTCACCGCTTGTTTGATAGGCCATTATGATTCGTTTGATGTGTTGAGTTTCGTCTAGTGACACTTCCAGCAGATCACCTTCCATCATTAACTCTTCAAGTTGGAGACGAGCTGCAGCAGACAACTCTAAAACCGGTGATTCCAATTGTCTTGGGATTAGGGGTGATTTGCGCTGATGTTTCCTTGGTGAAACAGCTTTATACAAATATATATATATATATATATATATACATATAACTATGTTGTTTAAAATTTCCTATATGTATGAATGCAAAATACTCAATCTTGGGGACAAAGTGTACACAAATATAAACAGTGTGGACATAGAAATCAACAATGCACAGTGACTGGTAGTTTCACATGTTAAACAATCATCAGCACACTGGTTCTGAATCAAGACAGTTACCATTCAGTATTTATTTTTATGTCCACACTGTTTATATATATATCACTTTAAACATTTTTAACAGATACCCATATTCGAGTAGATGCTCCATTTATCTTAAACATCATATTTATTTTCATCTACCAGCTTGGAGACATTTGACACCTTTTGTTGCCAAGTTGGTTAAAAGCTTGTCAGATTTAGCAACAATTTCTCCTGCAAAAGGGGAAAGAGAGCATCTTTTTCTTTAAAATATTTCTTGAATATTCAGGCCAGTAGACAATAAGCATAGTGTTTAAAATAAAAGCAGTGTCTACTCAAATATGTGTATCCACTAAAACAATGTTTAAAGTGATAAAAATCTGTTAGATTAATCAATATAAAATTCATTACTTCTTTATATATACAATAAATAAATTAAAGTGAAGAGAATTGAAGATAAATGTAAGTAAAAATTTACTTATCCAAGTTAAAATTTATACCAAATTTAAAGAGGGTCTACCAAGATATGACCAGAGCTTAACAAATTTCTTGCAGAAGGGCAAGTATCAAATCAAATTTGTCAACAGCTGACAACATAATTTGACCGTTGCAAGAATTTTGCTTTTGTACAGGGTGACAATATTAGACTACAAGATGTTTTTCTTCTCTCTTTAGTATTTTATTAAAATATATTGACAAACTTAGTACCATTGGAAAGTAGAACAAAACCTTTATAGCTACTTATATTGAAATTTTTGAGTAATTCAGAAGTTTAAATGGGTTTTATTGCTTGGGAGAAGTGAAGTGTTCACTCCCCCACCCCAAGACAACATTTCAACTGTAAAATTTACTATAAGATTGGATAAGTAACAATCTCAATAGTATTATAAAATATGGTATTGTGTATTTTAACTATTTTAAAGCTGAAAATTCATGTTATATCCAATATACAATACTAAGTTTCATCAGTCATTAATAGGAAGGAGGGTTCTGATTGCTACTTTCACTACCCCCCTTTGATTAAGAGATAATGAAGATCGTTTGGTGCATTAATTTAAATAATTTTCAAAGATTTTTCAGAGAGAGAGAGAGAGAGAATTTATGAATTTCAAAAATAAATAAATCTATACTGAAAATTAAATTCTTTCCAATCTTTATTTCTAGCTTTCCAAATAAGCTATTATCAAGATACAAGCTTACTTTTTGGCACAAACCTTCAATTTAACAAGAATTTTTAAATGTTAAAACGCTTCTTAAATTGAAGTGTTGATTCATTTAGTCAGTAGTAGAATTTCTTTGCATATTCGATTTTTGATGGTTTATTTCAATAAACTTCACAAATTGATCTCCAGACAAAAGAAAAACTCAAATCTCATCCTAATGTACAAATAGAACATTAAAAATATCAATATTTAAGCAAAACACCAAAAAAATAAAAATAAATAAAAATTTAAAAAATAAGTAACTGAAGAAGTTCTGTTTAAATAAAAAAAGAAATCTTAAATTTCCTGCATTAGTGTTTTGTTTCACTATCTTTTGTCATCTTTCAGTCCACTTCCTAATTTCATTTTCACAGAACTTTTCTTCTAAGCAATGTGCAGAAATCTCTTTCTTGGAAAGAATTCTTTAAAGATCAGAACAAACAGTAATCAATGGCCACAATATTAGGTGAATAAAAACGTCACAGATAATCTATAACGATTTTAACAATTTTTCCTTTAAAAAAAAAAAAAATTTTTTTTTTTTTTGCATTACCTTGTGGAAGTATTAAGCCATTTCTCCTCACACTAATTCCAAATGTTTTTAGTTTAGAAGTACTTGTTTGTACCATGTTATTTGCTTCCATTCCCACTCCATACATAGTATCACTTTCTTTGGTTTACTCTTCACTCATTTATGGGTTTGACCCACATTTCATTACCCATCATAATTTGTTAAGCATATAAAAATCAAGTTCACTCAGTTTTTTCTGGTTTGCCATTGAATTAATATGGAAGTCAAGCATAAAAACGACTAACATAACCAAATTGGTACAAATGACTTTTAATGTTTTGGATATTTTGAGTATGTTGACTATCTCCTGTGTTGAAAAACACTTCATTCTTAGATTTTGATTTGATTGCTATCCTCCTAAACTGATCTAACTGTAGAGTATCATTTTGTGAGAAATCTCCAGCATGGAACTTTACAAACCACTTTTGACATGTTTGATTATTTAAAACACATTCACCATAATTTGCACAAAGCTTTTTTGTGTATGTCTGAGTCACATTTTTTACCTTTCTTGTGTGTGTGTGTGTGTGTGTTAGTGAGAGAGATATGAAAGCACTGCTTATCTTTCCCACCTTCAATTTGGATTCAACAAACAATAATATACTCATTTTGACAAGACTCTTTAAAATAATGCATATCAATATTACTGATAGAAAGAAGACCAATTTTATCAGCTACCAAATCTAAGTTGAACAAATAACTGCCAGTAACATGACTGGAGGACAAACAGGCTGAATAATCAACTGCCTCATTAGCAAAATCAAGACAATTATTAAATTAAAAATCAAGACAATTATTCATAAAAAAAAATAAAAAATAAATCAACTATTTTCTTTGCATCAGTTTGAAAAAGTTGATTATTTCAATTATAAAAAACTTATAACAAGAATAATCTGAAGACTAAAAACCTTTCTTTTAAATGTGACAAAATGATTTTAATTGCATATTACCTAATAGATAGGGGATAGAAAAAATAACAATGGAAATATAATGTGTGAAGAAAATAAATAAAGAGAGAGCATTGACTCACCAAATGTTGACTTTGATGCAGAAGAATAAGCATGTTCTGAAGACATTCCTCCATTGTTGCTATTACTGCTGTTATTGTTACCATTTATATTATTATTATTATTATTATTATTATGTCCATTCAATAACAAATCAGTGGAAGAACCAAGAAGTGGTTCTTCCATGCTGTGTGGGGAACCTGGAGATAGTTGCATTGACTGACTACTGTCAGTATCTACAGCAAATGTGTTGAAGTCTTTCTGGGAACTTTGGACTCCACTAAAAGCACTTTGGGTGACACTTGCTAAATGTCCCTGTAGCTCAGGATTGTTAGCGGCTTTCATTAATTCAGCACTGATTATTTTCTCAGTCTTTTCTCGTGCTGCCTGCTCAACCATTCTTTGATTGAGTAAGCTCAGTTTGGCCAATGCTGATGCCAGTTCTGGAGTGGCAAGGGCATTACGTGCCCTGTCCTGCCAGGCCATTGCCCTTTCAGTGAGGCACTGCAAAGCTTCTCCCTCAGGAAGACGCACAGGTAACTTTTGCAATGACACCAGTAATGACAAGATTGTCTCAAGTCTAGGTCGACGAGATCGTAAGCAAAGCGGACAGAGGAATTTCAGGTCTCGAGAAGTTTGCATCTGAACACCTGGACTAATTTTTTTCACATTTGCTGACTTTGGTAAGGGAACACAGGAACCTGAATGAAACAAAGAAAAGAAAAATGAATTTACCATTTTATAATAAAAGAAAGCATAAAAGGTATTTCTCAAAACATACATTAAATACTTTCTTTTGAACAAATCTTCATTGAGTAATGTTCCTTGAAATATATAATTCAATTAAATATTTGAAATAAAATCTAAATTTCATTTTACCCAGAAAATATAAAACCAAGTTTCTTGGCACTGACAACAATATGAGTAAGGAAAGAGCATTTTTGGATAAATATTTTAAAGGATGAAATTATAACAATTAGTGAACAATAATGCTTCTATTGTCTATCAGAGGCAGAAAGAGAGAAAAGGTTGTCATTCCCATATCTTTGTAAAGATTTTGCAATAAAATCTTTTGTATTTGCTACATGCAACATACAGCAAAAATGTAACCTGCAAGTATCCTGATCAAGGCAAACAGCAAATATGAAAGACTCAATCAAAACTTGGATTTGAATTAAGCAATATTACAAATTTGGATATATTTGGGTATTCAATGGATGTGTCATCTGTGAAAAAAAACTGATAACGAAAAGATAGACATAATGTCAAACGTAGAAATACTGAATGAAATCACCTAGTGCTCAACAATCTGTAAATATTTATATATACATACATATTTTAACAATACAGAATTGGAGTTATTTCCTCATGAAAGATTTTTGTAACAATGACAGAATTAGAGCATTTACATCAATTGATATAAAATGACAGAAATTTCCCTTTTGAATTTAAAGATAAAAGAATTAATTGGAACAGGCAATTCAAAGATTCAGTTGCACATACAGAAAAGTGAAAGACACACACACACACACATATTATATATATATATATATATATATATATATATATAAAATAAGACTATCAAGTGAAATTAAGAGCAGTGTATTTTGCTTACCATGGAACCAGTCTTTACAAAGTTCACACTGCAACATAACAGCTGATGCTCCTTTTCGACAGATACAGTATTTTACATCTGCATCAGGATGCCGTGTTTTTTCTACGTTCCTTGTTCGCAGCTCTTTCATAGCTTCAATTTCTCTCTGTTCAGCTAATTTGAATGCAGCAACCTAATATATATGTATATAGACACACATAGAAACAAAATCCTTGGGAAAATTCAACTTACGAATCACATAGGAAACAGATTGATTTAAAGAGAACATTAGTTTGTTTATAGAAATCAAATTAGAGTTTAAAACTTAAATGTATATCAAGATATTTGTCTATTCTTTAAAAATATTATATAGGAAAAATATTAAAAAAATGTCATTTACTAATGTATAACAAAAAATTATTCTAATTTATGTATTTTAGCTTTTAATGCTTCATATCTTACAAAATGTATTGACATTTCACTCACAGGTTGATCTTTAAATTTAACTACATGTTCTTTTATTTTACATTTGTCATCCCTAACATTTAACAGAAATTCAAATACAGACTTAATAAGCATTATATATATATATATAAAATAATTATAAATTTTATAAATAAGTCTCCTAAAACTTGTATTTATTAATGTCATGTGGGGAGGGAGAGAGAGAGAAAAAAAAAAAAAGCTACTCACAATGCTTGCTGGATCACGCTGCTCTTCAATCCTGAAGTCCAAAATATTACTGTTGCTACTTTCACTTTCCTTTCTTTCACGCTCACCTTCTTTTAATTTTTTCTTCTTACTTTTATTGTTATTATAGATTCCTATGTCAGTTCTGGGGGATAGTACCTTTAAGAGATTTATATATAGTTAATACCAGTTGATACTGAATGCAATTTTAAACTGATTAACATTTCAGTTACTTTATTAATTTAATGAGCATCATAATTATTTTGAAAGACATTCAATAATGAAGACAAATTTTAATCATAAAATATTCACTGTGGATTATCTTTGAAATGGGACAAATATATTTTCCAGGTATATCAACAATGGTTTATGCAACAGGAAACAAGGATTTTAGTATGAAAACAATGATTTAAATATTTAGGTAGCCAGAAGATACCTAATGAGTTGTAAAGGCTGAACAAATCTACTTAAAGAGGCTTTTCAATAGAAAAAGAGAAACAAGTTATTTTATTTATTTATTTTTTACTTTAGACAAAAATTATGAACATCATAAAAGCATAAAAAAACAACAATGAAGCTATCTTACTTCAAGTAAAGTATAAGTTGAGTTTTTCTTGAGGAATGTTCTGGCTGTACGTTCCCTCCAGGACTTAGCTGCTGCTACTTGGGATTCTACTTGTGGTAACAGGTCAAGGCGCACAGGAATAGGACGGCCTTTATTCACCAAATTCTCCAGGACATCTAAATAAGGATAGAGCTCACAGTTTTGCTGCAAAGACAACAGAACAAAAAAAAACAGGACACTATAGATTATGGCTGTGTCCAAGGAATGAAATAATAAATATTTCCATCTGGTTGGGTACAACCTTGCTCTGATGACTTTTCAAAATTTCTGTGATTTTACTAAAAAACATGATAATTAGACACATTTTCTTTGTAATGAAAAACTAGAAAAGTAGCTGTCAGTATATGATTTTATATTGTCCATAATTTGCTTAAAATGAAGTTGCAATTTTTTTTTTTTTTTTTAAAAAGCTTTTGAATTACATAAAAAAGGTATACATTTTTGTAGATCTTTATACAAAAGCAGCCATATATCTTGAAAGCCTATTTATATTTTTATGCTTTTTAAGTATTACAACTTTCAAAAACACGAATATACTAACTTCTTCAATGAAAAGAAGCAGGAAGGTAGTATAGCCTTAACTTCCAACTGAAGTAGAATTCATGCTTTAAATTCCAAAGCCTGGTCTTTATCTAACACCAATGATTTTTGCTAGTAGAAATCACAATATCAACATGACAAACAGGATTCCTAGTAGTCAATCCAGAGTAAAATCATATTGGATGCCATTTTAACCAGAGTAATACCAAAAGATTATAAAATTTGAAATGACCAAGTAAACCTGATAAACTACCAGGAATAGCTTGATATGGTATGGTGAGCTTGTTGATAAGAGAAAAAGTTTACATTTCAGCACCTTAATGAAGAAAACCGAGTATCAATGACATGTTTCACTGAATGGATTCAGAGTGGAACAAAAACTGAAAAGTGAAACCACACAAGATATACAACTCAACTAACAAATTTTCAGAATTTGAGGACAGTTATTTTTCATCCATTAAAATGCTTTGGTCATCTACAATAACTCTTTCACAAACTGCAATAAAGTGAATACCACTGTGCTATAAACAATGGAAATGGGGGGGGGAAATTGTGTTTGTGCCATCCTTTAAAGAAATGTAGTTCCAATCAGGTAGGAAATATACAAGTAAATTTTAAAATCTGTAGAGAACCTTCAATTTTTCATTCCTACCTCCTTGTTTTTGGTCCGACATTCTTCCTAAAATAAAATAAAAAAAAATTTTTGCTTGAGATAATACAAATTAAAAAAATAAATAAATAAAATAATATAAAAATACAGAAGCCAACAACAAAAATAAACCAAATGCTAAAAGTAAAGATTTTATGATAGTACACCCAACCTAAAATGTCATACATGATGCAAAATGATATGCTTTATTAAGGAGTCAAGTGATATTAACATTGTTATCGACCCACCAGAATGAATATTACATAACCTTATAAACCGAAGCATTATTTAAGGTAACAAACTATGTCTCTTTCAGTAGAAGGTATATTTTTCTTTACTCATTTGTATATTAGTCTGGGTTCTATTTATTTATTCTTAAAATAGAAAAGGTTAAGCAAGATACAGAAAATTTCTAAAAATGATGGCTTTTCACAACATGATCATCAATTGAAATTATGAATCCCATGAAGTAAGTTTTAAAAAGTTAAATTCCAGCAGAGTGGAATGATGTGAAGAAAGATCATAAATGTTAAATAAAGAAAATTATCAGCAGTCCTGACATTCGTCAGGAGAACATCCCACCAAAACACTTGCTAGAGACTGATTTATCTGTCACAGCTAAAACAAACATCTGAAGAACTTAGAGGGAATAGTACCGACTAAAAACAGGACTTCACAAATTGGTGAAAAAAAAAAAAAAAAAAAAAAAAAAAAAATGTAAAACCAACATGGTAAGGCAAAGTGTTAAAATTGACAACTCTTGAAGACAAGTCACTCGAATTTTGGAAACTTTCCTGAAATCAGTTCAGTTGTGAGTGAAAGAGAAATCAGTTCTTGCTAATTAAAATAGCATCCAGATTAAACAGTTCAAAAATGGAATGATTATCATCTTTCTCTTATTTCTGAGAAAACATTAAAATCTTTATCAGAATTGATTACATTTAAAGTTAAAATTCACAAAATTCTTGTGTGTACAAAAATATAAATAACCTCAGTGATGCTAATTTGAAAAAAAAAAAAAAAAAAAAAAAAAAATCACGCATCCCATAATTCAAAATCTCCCAAATAATTTAAAAGTTGTATTTTTACTAATTTTAAGAATGTTAATTACAAAGACATGAACAATGATCTTATTACATTGTTAATCTATTGATTAAGGTCAATTTTCAAGATGGAAAATTAAAATTCTCTTAGGAAGGCACAGAAGTTTAAGTCATAATTTATTAAATACTAAAAGGCAAAGCTTTTTATCCAGTTCACACAAAATTATAATTGAAGAACAGAAAATGACATTGCCATAAAACTAATGTCAATTACAACATAGAAAAAAGTGTAAGACATTTTTAACAGAAAATCTTACTAAAATGAAGCCACAGCTGTATCTTGAGCTTTCGTAAAATAAATTATTTGAAGCTTAAAATGGTATTAAATATTTCAATCTTTTTAAAGATAAAAAAACTAAAAAATCTATGGAATTTTAAAGAGAGTAAATTTAATTCATCTTAAACCATTTGTACTAAAAGAAATATGTTATTTATTAAAAGCTAATAAAGAAAAATCAAATTTTTTACAATTAACTTTTACTTTAGCCATCAAAGCAGCCATAGAAAACCTGACAAGAAAGTTTCATCAGCTCATGACCAGCCTTGCTCTTCAGTTGTTTTCGAATAGTAATAATTGATACTCTTGGGTCCAAATATGGTAAAGTCAGAATTAGCACATGAGCAGAATATAGCTTTTTAACATGTGGCCATGAGTTTTAATAGAAACTGAAAAGGAGCCAAAAAATTTCCAAGACATGTACATAATCTAGGGTTAACAAGTGCACAAACAATTGTGCATGTTTACCATATTCCAGGTTCTTTTGATAACATTCTTTGGCTTTTGAAGGTATTTGTTGCATCTAGTGATTTTTTAGAAATAATTTGCTTTTTGTTTTTCATCTAAACAAAATGACCAAAGATCTCTCTAGAATAAGATTCACAAACCAAGTGCAGATTAGCACACCATACAGAAACCAGTTCTCAAGAGAACTGTGATAGCTAAGCCAAGTCATATACTTAAAGTCAATCCCACCCCAACCCAATAACTATAAATGTTTTTTTTTCACCCCAGTCTGTTCTACAAGCACAAAATTTGATATTTGGTTTTCTTTAGAAGATGAAAAAAAAAAAAAAAAAAAAAAAAAAAAAAAAAAAAAAAAAAAAAAAAAAAAAACACAATCTAGACAACATCAAATGTTATACCCAGTGGGATATAACATATACCCAAATGAAATAAGTGTGTAAACATGACCTTTTGATATATAATTTTAAGAGCAATATGAATAACATGTTATACTTTTAGAATGTAGAACATAATTGATAGAAACAACCTTACCTGAACACATTCTAGTTTTGAAATCCATTCTTTTGCTTTGCGTAAAGCCTCTTTCAAAGCACATACATTAGGTAAATAGGCCTTGATGTCACTGGCTTCCAAGATAATGCTTTCTAGTGTTGCCATCACATTCCTTGGCCTAAAAGTATGAAGAAATTAAACACACAAGTCAAAGCTTCAAGAAAAATTATTTTTGATTTAAAATGTTAAACAGAATGCAGATTTAACGAAGAGTCAATTACAAACCACCATTAATCAAAGTCTACATTTAAGTAGATAAAAAATTTGATGTCTTTTTCGAAAATATGGATTTTTAAAGTTTGAAAAAACTAATATTCAAGAGTTATATATAATTTTAACAGCCTTTTATCATGTTTAATGTTCAAGACTAGTTGTAAATTAGTATTGATATATAAACTTACATAATATCTGTTAAAACTTTATCATCTTATTTTTATCTGTTAATGTCTCTGTAATTGAAAACTCCTAACAATAAAAATTGTACAAAGTATAATAATGTCTTATGACAGCATTTCAAAAGATGGGAAATTATTTAAAAGAGCCCAAGAGGATAGTTACAAGTTTGCCTGGCAAGTAGTTCAGTGCATTTTAGGACTGACAATTTTCTGATAATTTAAAAGAATAATACATAAGTGAGCTGAGATAAGAATCCCTTTTGTTAGCATTATCAAGAGTGCTACCAGAAAATATACCATCTTATTACAATTCAAGTAATCATTACTTAATAAAAAGTCTTCTGGCAACTATTTTTTATAAAGTACAAACTACAAAACAACTGACTCTTCAAATACCAAAAATCCTTGCTCCCCCCTCCCTTCCACACCAAAGTAATAACCTTATCAATTAGAGGACATTGGAAAAATTGAAATGAACATAAATCCTTTTTAATTAGTTCCATACATAAAAAGATTGTTCTGCAACTCCTCACCTGGCTTGTAAACATAAACGAGCTTTCTCTTCCCACCGTTCACTAATGGTAAGCAATTCTTGCAGCTCAGCCATTGCTTTCTCAACAGCAGGATGAGGAGCAAGACCAACACCAGATTCTATGAGTTTCCTCATCACTTCTAGTGTCAAATTGTGAGAATCCTGTGTAGTGTACTTTACTTCATCTAACCAGCGGGCTTGATGCAAAACCTACAAAAAGAGGAAAACACCATAAATTGGTGAAGTGAAGAATGATATACACTGTTTTAAAAAAAAAAAAAAAAAGTTTTAAAAAATATATTGATGTGCCATCAATCTTTTTTTCTTTTTTTTTTTTTAATACAAAAATTGCAGGCAGTAATGAAATATTTGTTTAAGCCATTATGCTATTTTTGTGTATGTCCTTCAATTTTTGTATTGAGATATGTTCTATTATAGTTAGTTTAGTAACAAGTTTCTGATCATTATTTACAATAACTCCCTGCAAAAGATCAGTGCAGGCAATTTTACAAAACATTTGGTATAAAAAACAAAGACAAACAAAGAGTGACAAAATTGACAGCATCAGATTTAAAGTGAAGTGTTGAAAAAAAATTAGAGACAGTTACTTAATAATGGCAGCAACACAACCTGGGATAGACTCTAGGTGTTAGCATCATTGCATGGGTCTATCTATTCAGGTAGAACTGTCCATAACAGAGTTGTGTTTGTTTTGTAAGGCTGCAAGGAGTTTAAGGATATCTGCAACATGTCATATACACGCTAAAGACGAGTTTACATATGGATTGGGGGAGTGGGGTACACAAAGTACCTGGATGTCAGTACAGATGTTCTTGGAACCAGTTTTGTGTCATCTGCACACCATGTACATTTGTGTTATCCTGCCATTAGCACTAGAAAACATGCCAAGTATAAAGTGGTGCAGATGGCCAGCAACAATATCTGTGTATGTCACACATTTCACTGGTTAATTGTAGTCTAAAACAATGTACCCTATAGAAACACACTGATGACAGGCAGTTGTAGATGTTCCAAGATGTGTCAATAATGGTAGCCTTGTTGGCTGATGACTAAAAAAGCCTAGAGTGCACTGTACCCTGCATTGGTTAATGATTTGAGAAGAATCAATGTTGAGTAAGGATGTAATTTGAAGAAATGTTCCTATTTATTGCATGAATTACTAATATTGTCAATTGTCAGCAACCCATATCTTGCATCACTTGTGAGTGCTTGCAGATTTTTTTTAAAATGTTGATGTTTACTCAGATTTACATATCTCTGATATACATTTGCTACAACTGTTGCCTGAGAAATATTTAGAACAGTTGCCAATTCTGAGAGAGTGTTGTTCTTTCTAACCTCAACAATCATTTTACACAAACCATTATCACATGTCTTATTGTCTCAGATTTTGACACAAACGTTGATTTGGTAAAACAAAAAAGACACCCAAGGAAGGTATATAGTCATAACATTAGAGTGAGTGGGGTTAAAATAACAAAGAGAATTATTTTGAAGAAAACAATGTATAATGATTAAAATACTTCATCTAACAAATATGTTTAGTTACAAGATTTAATTCGTCCATTGATTCATTTATTGCTGCATCTGAAGAATCATAACTATTTAAGATAATTAAAAATAAAAATAAATAACATTGAATTTTGTGGTACCTGTTTGAGTTTTGGAATTTCTGGTAAGTCCACATCCAATGTAATTCCATAATCCATAAATTTTTCTAATTTTTCTGAATCTGGAGTCTCTTCATTCAGTGCAGCTTGAGCTTCATTCTGGAAGTCAGTCACTTTATCCAGTAACTCCTACAATATGAACAAGAGAGAATAAAACAACTGCTTCAAAATAATTATAACAGAGACAAAGGGTACAACAGAATGTCACCCTCCACAAAAAACAAAAATGCTTAAGAGCCACTAATAGAAATTTGTACTAAATTCTCAGAAAAAAGAAAAAAAAAAAAAAAAAAAAAAAAAAGATTTGTGTGTGCTCTTTTTTGTCAGCCATAGTGGCATATTTGTGATGATACTTTAATAATAATAAAGCCAGGTGATAATAACATTCGTAAATTATAATATTAATTTTACAAATAGCAAGTGATTTGATATTGAGTGAATGCTGACAAAGACAGCATTTAAGCAAATAAGCTACAAATACATTATATTATTTCTTTTAAAGTTTCATCTATTGCCAAACAATTTGAAACCAAAAAATTATAATGAATGAATCCTCTATAGTATTTTCAAATCAATAAGTTCAAAAATACAAACCTAAAGTGCTGTGGAAAACAATAAATTAAACCAATTTAGAAGAAATATAAAAAAAAGCATAGAGAAGACAAATAAATGGTATTTGTAATGAGAAGTGTAAAATAATTTAAATATTACTGATTGATAACTCACCTTCACTAACTTAGCTTCAGGTATTATACAAGGCAAATTGTTGACTTGTTCATAAAAGCACTTTAATTCTTCAAGACTTAGTTTAGCCACATATTTGGCATCTCCAGCTTGCCTATTCCTGAAAAAGTAAATAAAAAATGAAAATAATTTAGTAACTACAATTCTTTCTCCTTCTCCAAATAAGGACATCAAAATATCCTAACACATTTTACATTCTTGATAGTACACAAGACCCCATTTTATATAATTGTAAACAATTTGCCATTAAGACAAAAGAAGTTGAAAATTAAAGCACAAGTTTTTCAAGTTCTAAAACCCACAGTACTTTAAATTTACAACTATAATAAATTCATCATGTATTGGTAACAATTGAAAGGACTAAATTTGCAATTAGGATGCATTGATAAAAAAATATAGTAGTGAGCTTGGTACTTGGGCCACTAGTTAACAGAGTCAAATCTCATTTTTATCCTGAATGATTAAAAAAGTGTTCAAATTTACTATTAAATGACATTTTATGTGTGTGTGTGTATGAAATAGAATTAATCTATGTTATTACTTTTTTAACATACAAATTATGATTATGTTATGCTTAGTTTAATATAGATTTACAGGTTTTAACTTTTAGTTGTTTTATTGGCAGATTTAGTGTACATAAATCTTAAAGTGTGGATTTTAAACTATCAGTTTTATAAACATTTATTCAATATGGAGTATCGTTTGTGTGTGACAGACAGAAAGAAAGGAATATAAGTAAAGCTATTGACCTGGTTCTAACTTTTTTCGAGACTAGTTGGTTAGCAACAAGAGCACATTTTTCTGCTTCATTTACTGCATTTGTGAGACGATCAAGTAATTCAGAATCAGGAAAATGCTTGTCCTCGGCTTCACTGATAAGTTTGTGCAGCTCCTCAAGATCTAACAAAAATAATTTTAAAGACATTAAATTCAGAAGTAACTTTTGTCTTTAACAAAGAAACATTTCACAATTGCAATATTTATTATTTCTCATCATGAAACCTTGCTTTATTCCTTAAATCATAACAATTCAGTTGATAAAAGAAAAAAAAAAGTGATCCATTGTAAAAGTACATGATTCTTATACCTTAAATTGCATTCTACTCTGAAATTATCAAATACAAAATTGCTTTTAATTTTAAATTTATCTTCAATATTTGTCAGAGGAATTTAAATTTGTAACTATTTCCAATGTTTGGAAGAATCTGTTATAAAATTTAAAAAACCTTAAAATTTAATTGGTAGCTCAATGGCAATTCAGTTTGACCGTTAATTATACTACAAACCATAAAGAAAGAAGGGTTTTCAGAAAATCGAAAAGAAAAAAGTATCTGTAGCCAAATCATTTTTCAACTATTAAAACAGTACAACTGTATCTATTTTCTTAACATCAATAAAATAATTGAAGACTCCTTTCACCAATTGCTCATAAGCAGCTTGGTAAATTATTACTTTATCTGATGAACACATATTGACGTTTTGAGATGAGGCAAGTGATAAAGTTGCTCACCAACTTTGTCTGCGGTAGGTTCTAAGGCTCGTTTGGCTTGTGTGCGCCAGTTGTCAAAGCATTCAGCACGTACTTTGATTCTGTGCAACATGGCTGGCAGCTCATCCAGTGTGTAACGATAACGCAGACAGTGATGGGACGGATGACAGCCACACAGATATTCTACATGATGAATACACATTACTGTATCTGCAAAGATAAATGGGAAAGGAAACAATAACAAAAATAATTAAACAATATTTAATTTTTTTTTAAATCAAAATATATGCAGTATAAATGTGAATATTAAATTAAACAATTTATATATTGCTTACAGCACAGCACACTCCATTTGTTTATTAAAGTATTATCTACTTATCAACATTGTCACTGATCAATAGTAGTTCAGATGGGGATTTTTTTTTTCCTTACAATATCTTAATGTCTACTAGATTGTTCAGTGGCAGTCTCATTATCAGCCATATTTGCCCTTGAGAAAAAGTATCTAATTGCAGATCAATAGTGAAATAAAAGTTTGTATTCATTCCAAGAAATGATGATTTTTATCAATTATATAATTTTATCAATGCACCATAAGAAGGAATCTGAGTGTGAATTAGCACTCCTATGTATGTTTTAATAGCCACTCTTTCCTTTATCCTAGTGGTAGTAGTAGTGACAGCAACAAGAAAAAAAAATTCATTATTAAACCTATGATAGGATTTAAAAAGCCACTTTAGTAGAAATAAACCCATATATTCAGTCATATTCCCAGAAGTGATAAACTCCAAAGCTAAATTTCTGATATATGACCAAATTTCATTCAAACAGCTATGTATATACTCACTTGGCCGGCAAGGACATGTGACTGCAGAGAGGAAGCAAGTAGTCTTACAATAATCACATTGTCTTTCATCATCAGGTAGAAGTTCAAATGCTTCCCTTTCAGCATCTGTGGTTCCCTGTATGTATAAACAAAGGTTAGAGTATAAAACTAAATATAACAAACACAAGTGCATTAGTAAACTTTAATACTATCATAATTAGGATATTATCAACCAGGAACTACAATATTTTATATGATATTAATGAACTAACACCAAATCCCTTGGTTTTAAGTCTTATAGCAGTACTTTCCTATATTAATTACATTTTTCAAATGATATTTTAATATTTTACTTTTAAAACAAAATCAAGAAAACCCATTCATTTCTCTCCTCCTCCCAAGTGTTAATAAGGAATAAAAAAAACAAAAAAACAAAAAACAAAACACCATCCAAATGGGTTCTCCTTAAATTCAGCTGTAGGAGATTAAATAACAATTTTATTTTGTCTGTACCAAAATACCTTTCAAAATTTATTGCTTATTCAAAGTTGAAATCAAAATCAATCTAAGTTTGCACGTCATGCTAAACATTTGTCATTCCTTCACCAAAGTAAAAATCAACTCACTCTATCCAAAAGTCTTTTGCGCAATTTCTTTTCATTTTCCACCATAACCAACATGTCTTTATGAGTAGCTGCTGCCAAATTGAAATCAAGGCTGTCAGGATCAGCAGCCATTTTACAAATCAGTTCCTCATGAGAGAAAACACACTGCCGTTGCAATTTACGGTAATAGTCAATGCAGACACGACCAATGGGTAACTGAAAAACAATTCAGAGAGAGGCAAGTAAGTAGCAATTAAAAAAGGAAAAATACCAATTAATGCAATAATCAATTAGCTGAATGTATTCTTAAAGAGAACTGCATAAAACTAGAATCTAAAAATTAAATCATAAATAAGTTTACAGCTTTGTCACACAAAGCTTCTTTCAAGTACCATATGTAGCATCATAACATCTTATAACTAAGACTTTCCAATTTAATAATAATAAAAAAAAAAAATATGTTGGATATATATTAATAGCAAGATTAACAATTTTGATATACAAACTATATTTTGTAGACATACAAGTATAAGGCACAAGTAATCAGCACTTTGTCTAATTAAACTCCTCTTTTGATGATAGAAAAAGAAAAGTCAGATAAAAGAATGAGTTTTTGCATACATATTCTTTGATTAAGCAGAATGGAAAATTCCACTTATATAAGAATAAAAAAATGGATTTACCCAGTCTGCAGGACAAAAATTAACTGCTTCTGCAAAGTTATAACCCTGGTTAAATCCAGCATGATAAGCACGAGGAAAGGTGACAACAAATTCTCCAGCACATTGATGGGTTTTTACAACCTGAAACAATATGGTGAAAAGTTCTTACTAGTTTCATGATTTCAAATTTATAAAATTTGGTTATGTCATTGTGAAGAATAAATGTTTTTGCATTAACATCTACAAAGGTTAAAGATGTAAGAAAGAAGTATTTTTCAGTTTGCTAAACAAGAGTGTTCTTTAAATTAGTGATTTTTGCAGTTTTTAAGATTTCAATCAATCCATTTTCTACATTTGCTCAGATGCATATTTATTGAAGGAGAGAGTGAGAGAATCTTTTCTTCAAACCTACTTTTTTTTATTGTTGAAGACTCCCATTGAGATTACATTAAAATGATAAGTGATTAATTCTGATGTGAATCCTTTTAATATTAAAGTACAGGGTGTGGCAGAAATATCTCCCACATAATGGTAAGACATTATTTAGGTGAAGACACCACTGACACTAATGTCTTACCATTAAGTGGGAGGTATTTCCGCTGCACCCTGTATAAGTCCTCTTCAACTTTTTCTATACTGATTTTCTTTCAATAACATATTTTTATCTGAAGAAGTTTAATCCTATATTTAATAAAAATATTGTCAGGGCAAAAAAGGTTAAGCAAACATTTTAGAGACAGGTTCAAATGCTAAATATTTTACTTACTGGAACTCCCATATCCATCAAGATGTTTGGATTCATTATGGTTGTTAATTGATGAAGAAGGTCAGGAGATTGCTCAAAAAGTTCTGGGGCAGACTTTTTCATGGAGTCCTCAAAAAACTCAGCTGCTTCGCCAGGTACCCCATACCAAGTCTTTGGCTCCCCCCTAAAACATACAAAACATTGAGAGAAAAAAAGTGTTTCTTGTATATTGTATAAAATTAACATAATTTAAATTTTTAAAATTAAAAAAAAAAAAAAAAAAAAACTTCTAGTATTTGTCTGGCATTTTTAAATTAATTTTCCAATAATGTAGTGGAATAAAAATATTTAGACTTGTAACTTGCCAGTCATTTTCTTTTCTTGATGAAGAGAGAGCATTTATTTATTAATAAGGAAATTTCTAGCTTTTTATATTTTTTTTTATTGCCAACAATGTAAAAAAATGTAAATACTGATGTTGAAAGATGAAAGTTCCTAATTTTTCTTCTGGTGCAATTTTTTTTTTATTTTTTTAAATACAACCCATCACTAAAAAGACAAATATAAACCTGATTAGATATAATTTCATGTTTAATAAAATCTAGATTAAAGAAACTTTACTCACCAATGCATATAATTAATAGAATAACTCCAGTGATCTTCATTGTGCCAGCAAAAACAAGAAAAGCACATGCCAACATAGCACCAGGGAATCTAAAAGTTAAAACATTTAATATATTCACACATTATTAAAATATAAATGAAAAATAATTCTACAGTAAAACACTTTTAAGAGGATCACATTGTAAAAGAACTTTAATGTTTTTTATTGTATAATATTATGTGATAATTATTTCAATGTATACGCATGTTATATATAAATAAAAATAATGCATGAACATGTGGAATGTATAAACTTTTAAAAGATTAAATTCAGATTTACAAATTTTTTTTTTAACATAAAAATAAGTCATCCTAGTTACAAATTGACATCAAATCATGACAAGCTATATTTTCTTACATGACCAGAAAGAATCTCAGAAAAACCTAGTTTCCAAATTTTAAAATGTTGAAATAAAATTAAAAAAAAAAAAAAAAAAAAAAAAATTCCAGTAGTAATTTGAAATAGATATTTTTAAATATGATTCTCTTCTAGTTAATCTGTAAACTGAATTCTCTATGCATATGTATAAATAATATACTAGAAACAAAAAGCATTTTCTCAGAGAAACTATTTTTATGATATAAAACATTTTACATACCTTCATTCCTGATATATCAGCATTAATATGGCAAAGGACTGACTTTTCCAAAATAGGTAGATTATTTAAGTTCCAACCAGAGTTAATATATTCCTAGAATAAACCAAACAATAGTTATTAAAGCAACATTTTTAAAAGAAACTCTTGTTTTTTTTTTTAAATGTAGTCAAGTATTCTCAATCCTAAATCACCTGTAGAGTATTAATGTCATTCATTTTCATACAATCTCAATAGTGTAATAAAAAAAAAAAAAAAAGTAATATTTTGTTTATCAGAATGCATAACTTGATTGTAACAAAATTTATCTAAAAATATCAAGAGCCTGGATAGATAATTATTGCCTGGGAAGATTTGGGGAGAGGTGGGGGTTTTTGGGGGGTTGGTTTCTAAGAAGGTACTATACTTTTCTTTTGGAAGGCAGATTTGTAGCAGAGAAATGTCTGAAAAGCTACCCTTTCAGAGAGTAGATAAAAACATGCACACAATTTTATGAAGGGACAGAGGCATGAGCAGAGCATTGGAAAATGAAACTAGCAAAAGTTCTGTTTGCCACGGATATCTTTGCAGTGCATGTGTGTGTGATATATATATATATATATATATATATATATATATATATAAATAAATATAAAAACAAAATAAGACAAAACATCCAAGTTGCTCTTGATCCTTTTCAACTACTGATCTTCTTGATAAAGTGTGTGTGTGTGTGTTTGTTTCTTTAGAAGAAAGCAAATCTCTCAAATATACACATCAACTACAGTCAGTGTTCATTTTATATACATTTTTGTCATGTATTTAAATTCATCTTATTTGCTGAAAGTAAGTAAACCATTTACCTCATCTTCTGGAAATGTGTCTTTATTAGACTTTGTAGGAAAGCCACTGCCTTTCTCCATAGCATGAATATCTGCACCATACTGCACAGTTACTTCTTCCTCAAGGGTATTGACAAGTCGCCAAAACTCTTTCTCCACTTGATCAAATGAGACCATCTGATTAAAAAAAAAAAAAAAAAAAAAAAAAAAAAAGAAAGAAAGAAAAAAGAAAGTCATATGTGAATATTAATAGTTGCCACCTTATTTATCAATAACCAAAACCCCACTTTTTTTATTTAAAGAATGCTTTCTGTGCACCATGTTATATTCATGACTGATAATGATTACATGAGGAGAGAGAGAGAGAGAGAGAAAAAATCTAATTGTGGATAGAGAAAAATATAGACAAGGACCAAAAAGCCTAACTTGTGCCTTTAACCTCAATAATTCACAAAAATTCCTCAAATGAGTAAAACAACAAGAGAATTAAAATAATTTAATTACAAATGTTTTTACTGTAATAAATCTATGACCGAAGAATCCATCCTTTTTACACAACTAGACCTAAAAAACTAATAGTAAATATAATAAAGAAAAGTCGATAAGCTATGAAAAAACATGTAAAATATTGAAAAAAATTACTCATTGTTTTATGCTTCTCTGTAATATAAAAATAAAAATTCTTAGTGATATGGTAAATGTATCAAGGCAAATGATACTTACATGAACAGGCATATTGAAGTGATCAGATTTAAACTGGTCAGCCATTTCTCCAAACGATTGCAATGTATATTCTTTAGGAGACTGCTCAAAACCATAACAATCGATAACGGGTTTACAAGCCTGCAAATCAAAACAAATAGAAAAACTATGCATTTGACTTACTGATAAACGCAGTAACTTTTCAAGTTTGTGAAGATAAGCACTTTTCATTTTTGACATTTGATGAAATAGATACAAGACCAGTCTAAGAAACATTATGTTCATGTATTTTGTCCATTTATATTTTGCATTTAAAGTGGAATGAATAAATATTACTTATAGAATTTAGATTCAATGCTGTTTTCCATTTTGATAATTTTTTTTTTTTTTTTAACAAAACTTTTATAAACGTACATTTTTAATTGTTTTTCTGATAAGGTGGTTTGATTTTTATTTAATCAACTTCATCTATTTTTTTTTATAAAGTATTTTTTTGTGTGAAGGATTAGTTATCAAACTTTTTTTTTTCCAAAACAAATGTTTAATAAGGAATTAAAAATTAAATTCGATAATGTCTCTTAAGCTGGTTCTAATATTTTAAGAAATTCATTTTTTTTTTCTTTTCAACCTTTTTTGTTTTTGTGTTTCATTTGAAATACATCATAAAAAATTGAAAAAGAAAAATCTTCAAAAAATAATGATTAAATACTAGTATTATTTATACATGGCCAATTGCTAAGCAGCATAATTAAACATCACTGACAAATGGACATTAATGGATATTAAAGCTTTTTTAATAATGAGCTATAATCATAAGCATAGCTGATGACCACCTAAATTCTTTCACTGAGGTTTTCAAAAGAGTCATACAAAATATAAATGAGGAATAAAAAAAAGAAAAAAAAAAAAAAAAGATCTACATATTACATATGCACCTGTAAATCTAAGTGAATTCTATACCTACCTCTTTGACACACTCAGGGCATCTCCAATCTCCTTTTGGTACTTCAGGCATAGGGGGTGTAAGGCAGTAGGTATGAAATGCATCATCACAGCCATCGCACAATAACATGAACTCCTCCCCATCACCTTTGTCACACACCTGGCAGACATAAGCATCCACCTGGAAAGAAGACAAGCCACTAATAATTGATGTGATAGAGGCAAGGGAATTTTATAAAATTTGACACAAAATAAATAATAACCATTGTGTCATTTCTGCAGTTGTATTTATAAAATAACTTTCAAGGTGAAAAATAAGGATAACACATTTATTAGAACCGATTGAAAGTCTATTTCATGGACATAATTCTTTTATGACATTTATGAATAATGCTATATATATATATATATATATATATATATATATAAAATCAAATTTATTGCTCAAATTAAAGTCTTCTGAAAAAATAAAGATAAACAAAATGGTTTCTTTTATCTAGAAAGCAAGTTTTTGCCAAGAAAAAAAAAAAAATTACATAATTCTAAACCTTGTCCTATATAAATAAAACATGATACAGTAAGAAATATTAAATAGTTTTGATAAAATGCTTCTTTTGTTTTTGCTATTTGATGGTATTAGGAGAGATTAGTTTTAACTAAATTGATCACTTTTGAATGGATTGTGACAGCTTTTGTATCGCTATGCACTTTAAATTGTTGAGATTGGCATAGTTTTATTCATTCTAAAATTGGCAATTGAAGAAAATAAGTGACATTTTTTTTTTATATGCTATGATTTTCTTTAATGTAAATGGTAACAATCCTGAAATCGATGTTTCATAATTAAAAATGTAAAAAAGGGTTAAAATTTAGATAAACAAAAAATCAAAACATGGTTTGACAAATTCAACTCTGGCTTCAGGAGGGTATGAACCCTAACCAGAAATTGGATGAAGGAAATGAGAAAATAGGTTAATAGCTGATAAAGTAAGAATAATGTATTTTCAAATACAGATATCAGTGTGAAGTGTGTTTTTGATCAGAATGGGATTGGTGTGCTCATAGGTGGCACTTGAATAGGTTTTTTTTTTTTATGAACTCCATCTGGATGGTTACAAGTTTGTTTGAAAAGGGTTATTAAAATGTTTGAAAACTGGTAAGGGAGAAATTAATTTGAAGCTGAGGACTAGAGAGAAACCAGATGTTCTCTTTTTGCAACAATTGTCTACAATTTTTATAATTATCATCATTTTGGATTTCTGGCAGGGAATCCTCCATCAGTGGAAGAGCCATCTGGTTAATTTATGGAAGTGTGGAGATAATGAAATGTGAGCTATGTGCTATATGTAAAGTCATTTTCTGAAGCCTGGCTAAGTAAAGTGAAGTCATTAATCAGCGTTATTAGGGAAAAATTTCCCTATATAAGCCAGCATGCATTTTGCTTGGCAGTCATTTTCCACGTGGAAACAAGCCAGATTCAATAACACATCTTTATTTTGCCAAACACAGAGACACAGAGATATAGAGAGCCCTCCAGCATCATTTTGTAGAACTTAAATTCTGTAGACTTACTTTTTTTCTCTTCACATTAAATTCTGTTAAGTTTACAGAACATGTTTGGTTTGTTTATCAAAGAACGTTTGCCCTGTCATCCTTACCATCAACAATTTGACTGCAACCAGAAACAAGAAATGAAGTGTACACATGCTCTATGGTAGAGAGATTTCATTGATTTTCTACAGGGAGACAATAACAGAATTTGGGTTTAACTACTGATGTCAAACAGATTGGTGGAACTGGGAAAGGCTTAATCTCTGTTCAAGTGAATCGGGACAGAGAAATCTACTGTCCTTGATTCCAAGCATGATGTAGTCAACTGATATTGAAAAATTACCCAATCCACCCAGATTTATCTGGTGCAGCATACCAACCAGTTGTAATTATGCATTGTGACAAGGAGCTAACTATATCACTAACCAACCTGTTACATATACAGATTTTAAGAGTAAAAACATTTGTGCAGTTTATGGAAAAGGTAGTGAGAATGATTGAATATCTCAGAAGTTGTTTGAAGTTTTATGCTGAACAAGGCTCTAGTTGTGTAGATCAGTTGAGGTTGGACAATCAAATGAAGACATTACTTGAGAATTGTTTATATTATAAAGACACAACATACTCAAAATATAATAATCAAGTGTTGAAAATCATTTGCACCAGCTTAGCTATGTTAGCATTACTGTGTCTAATTTGCTACTTAAAACAATGAAAATGTACTATTTCTGAAATAAACCATGACAAGTGATGAAAAGTGGATGCTTTACAAGAAGTAACCATGAAACAGCCAAAATGAACTGTCACTAATCAAACCAAAGGCTATTTCTCATCAAAAGAAAGTGATAGGATTGGAAGTATTTGACTATAAGCTCTTTTAGGAGAAGCAAATAACTGATCTGAATAAGTAATATTAAGATTCAAAGCAAAAAAGAAGAAAACAATTGAAGTAAAGCATATTATATATATATATATATATATATATATATATATATATATATGAGAGAGATATAAGCCATAGGGATAATTCAAGACCATATATTTCTTAAGTAAGCATTCAAAACTTATTACAGCTTTACTAGGAAGTTTTCACATGTAGCATCTACAGATGGTGCACATTTGTATTATCATGTATCCTAGTTTTTAAAAATTACACCCCGAAGCTACCTTGAGTAGTTCTTTACACAGAAAGATATGTTTTGAGCAGATGAAATTATAAAGATGCCAAAAACAGAACAAAAATAGTAAATATATAGTTCAATGAAATTAATATTAAAATAAAAAATAATAAAAAAATATTATTTTTATAAATAAATCAAACTATTTCCCCCCCACTTCTCTTGTTCCGACTAAAATTAAGTTACATTAAGATTTAAAAAAAAAAATCAACAAATAAAAATTCAGTGCTTTAACTGTTAAGTTGTATCCGATATTGCATTCAAAACATTTAGTAAATTTCCCAATAACCAGTATTAGATTTGAAGTTTTCAAATATCTGAAGAAAGTACAAACAATCCTTTCTGGAATTATATTGAAAAGAAAATGGCTTAAAGTAAATTATAAAACCATAGTTTTTTTCAACTAATTTTTGCCATGGACAAATTACAAATATCAGGTTAGAGTAAAAAAAAAAAAAAAAAAAATACTGATGCCTTTAAGAACAAATGTTATTTTAAATATTAAACAATGTTTCATTGAGCTGCATTGCACTACTTTATCAAAATATAAGACTTCTAAAGGTAAGATCAATATTTCAATACATACAGCAGCATTTCATAAAAACTTTATAATATTAAACCAACATGTTTGATATCCTTTTTGTATAACATAAAACGTTACTGAAATGTTAACTATATACGTGCAGTAATGTGTGTAGAATTGTGGTCAGTGAATACATCAACCATTACCTTTTAAGTGATTATGTTTATTCCAGTGGAAGGAGCAGAGAGTTGTGACTTGCTGAATTGGAGACACAGCAGCACTAGATACTGAATACCTACCACAAAACTGGCTTGCATCAGTTTATCTCAAAAGTTACAAATTAAAAGTATGTTCAAGAGAATAATATAACAATAACAGAATTTTTTAAAAAGATGAGGGAAGAAAATGTCTTAAAATTTTTTTTTACTAAAGTCTGAGAAGAACTAGAAAATAGAATCACTTCAATTAGCAATTTCTTTTTCAATTATTATTAGTATTTAGAATTATAAATATTTAAAATGAAAATATTGTGATAATGCAGCAAACAAAAAAAACAAAACAAACTGAATATATATAATCTTAAATGAGTCTAAGCCATAAAGATAATCCTATGGTACTCAGTAGAGAGAGAGAGAGAGAGAAAAAAAAAAGATAGTTGAAAGGCTGAATATGATGAAAGATCAACAAAACAAAAGAAGGATACTTCAACAGCAATTAACACACTGTCCAAATGACAAATGAACATAAAAAAAAAAAAAATCATTAGAAACTGCAACAGGGCAAAAAAATTAGTAAGTCAGCATCAACAGAGAGAGATGTGATATTTGTGAGAAGAAAGCAGTTCATAACTAATTTTTACCATGATTATAAGATGTCTAACACTAGAAAAAATACTTCCCACAAAAGGAGATGGGGGGGGGGGATTAAGAGAGACAAGACAAATCATTTTGTTCTGAACCCTTTAAACACACTGGCAAATCTCAAGATCTCTAAGAATTGGTGGCCTTGGCTGATTTTCTGAAAAGTAAGTTATGATAGTTAAGAATCAGTGTGTAGGTATCATTTCTAAATGAGCCTACATCTAATAGACCACTTACTTTAAAATTTAATGGCAACCCCGTTTTAGCGTCATCATAGTTTAACTGAAAAATAAAAAAAGAGGGAAAGTGACAGTTTTAGGTGAATAGAAAAACAGACAGCAAGTATAAATCCCAGGCCACTGAGAGGAACCAGTTCAAGCTTGCTATAATGAGCAGAAAACAGCAGACAATGGATGAACATGGAATACAAAGCAGCAAACAGGGAAACCAAAGCTGAAGAAATTCTACCCACATGCTTAGGATTTTGACATGATTAAAATAAAAAATTAAAAAAATGATTCAGTGTAAAAAGGGCCAGAAATGTTAGTTATTTTCTAGCAAATTTCTGAAACAGAAAGACAAATCTAAAAATCAAGTCAGCTGTTACAGTGTACAGCAACATTTCAGAAATATATTCCAAGTTAGGTAAATCATTTTTCCAGTTAATTTTATATGGTGGATAAGGATAAAAAGAAAAGTTTATATAAGAATGAATAGTATAAAATATAACAAACACATTGTAACAGCAAAAAGAATTATCTCTTGGTTTAACATTTTTATTAAATTTAGAAAAATAGATTATTTCCTTTCCAATAAAATACCTTTTTACTTGTAAGTGAAGATGTTTTCCAAGAAGAAAATAAAATACCAAAATAGAGAAATTAAAATGTTATACTGGGGATGAAGAAACAGTAGTCCTATGTATGGTGATGGCAAGCCTATATTATGGATTAGGTTTATTATCGTAATGCCAAAAGTATGCAGGTATAGGCTTTAAGAAAGCTTTATTCAACTTACAAGGTTTATGTATGGTGTCCTTTTATAGTCCCAGTAAAGAGAAATAGCTCTCTCAAAGAGGAAAGTAACAAAACAAGGGGAGACCACTCTTGATTATTCATAACTATATTGTACCAAACAATTTCAACCAATTAGCATTTGTGAATGAAATTAAAGTTTAACTTTTGTACTTTAGACTATAGAAAAATTATTGTAAGTTAGCAAAATCCTGAAGTTTTTATTTTTTCCAATAATTATCTTTATATTAAATAGTTTGAAAAAGTGCAATAAAAATAATCTTGGGAAAAAAAAAAAAAAAAAAAAAAATCAATCAATAGAATTAAGTAGTATCACTAAGACCTAATATTTTTTTGTGAAAGTAGAATCATACAAATGTCAAATTTAGCATTTATTGACCAATCAGCAAAGTTGTTTCAGACGCAGATCAACCTTTTCTGTGCTGTATGTTAAAAAATAAAAAGAAAAAAAAAGAAAAAAGAGATCACATCCAGAAAAATGATTAACAATCTTTTACCTCCTAAAAATCAATATTAAAAATTGGAAATATTTGTTAACGAATAAAACTTCTCAATTTAATAAAGCTATCTTTTAACTTCTTGTGATGTTTTTTCCCCTCTAAATAGTGTAACTTAAATTAATAGACTATACTTCAGTATATCTTTGACGAAGATGTAAATTTCAAATTTTTGTCTCTTAAAAATTTTTTTATTGAGTGCTAAAGTTCTTTTCATAAATTATTTCTCACTTTAAAAGCATTTTCAGAAACCAGTTTGCACAGTTTATATTATGAAAATACACAAGCGACAAATAGACAAAAATCACAACATATTTTGGGCTGTCATTAGTTGTATTTGTGCTGATATTAGCTGACTTCCTACTATATTTATACTACACACAGAGATTTTGGCTTCTTCCATGACAATCTCTCACAATTCCTTTCTTTTGTGTTGTAAAAAAAAAAAAAAAAATTCATATGGGCTTTGTGAGGAATTTTATATCATTTCTTTCAGCTTAAAAGAAAACAAAAATTATTTAAACTTCTTGAGCTATATTTGAAGATTATTTGTTTTCTTCACTTTTCACACACTTTTTCCTTTACAAATGTTTAAGGGGTGTGCTGAAAATTTCTTGGCTCAACCAAAAAGACCTAAGAAAAATATTATTCGGTAAGATTTTGGGAAGTGGGTTGAGTTGAGAATCTTTTGATACATCTTCATAGTAACAGTAGGAGTGTGTGTGTGTAAAAATAAAAATCTTGTTTCTATTCAAAGTTTTCATAAGAATATTAAGGAAAAGAACTTTGAATGCTATTTGGAGATAATATCAATTTAATTGCTATGCCTTACAGGCTGAGGTGGAAAAAAACCCCCCAAGTGTCATAGGATGAAATTAAAAGTCAGAAATAAAAATGAAAAATGATATTTGTTTGTAGACAAATTAAATGTTATCAAAGAAAATTAGATAAATGAATAGAGGAGAGAAAGAGGGCAAGGGAGCCACCCCCGCCCAAATGTAATGTTAATTGTAAAATGATTGTAAAGTAAATAATACTTTGATTTTGTTTATTCAATGTTCAGACTTGACCCCAGAGTGTTTTCCATGATAAATTTAAATGTTCAAACAGCATCTGTATTAGCATTTGTCATACAGTATTGTGAAGGATATGCATATAAATAACAACTACTCTACTCACATGTGTATATTCTTCTTTGGCTCGTCCCTTCACTTCTTTTTTGATATGCTTGACATCAATTTTTTCATCTGAAATAATGACAAAATTTTAGCAAAAAGAAAAAGATCCAATTATTATTAATTTTATTTTTGCAATTTACTTCAAGAAATTCCCAAATATCTTTAAAATACTGAAAATATTCCAAGGATAGAGTTAGGAGAAAATATGCCAAACTAGAATACATAAAAAAAGAAATCTTGTTCATGCTTCATACTTTCAGGAAGCAAATAAAAATGGAACAATTCCCAAAATACTTGGCACTGAGCACATTACGTTCTGAATGCAAATGGTTTTGCTAATATAAACAATATTATTCTTGAGAGAGAATTTTCAAGAGTTAAATAATGTCATCCTTTAAATTTTCTATTAGGTCCTTGAATAAGTTCTCGCTGATTTTTTCATGAAAAGTAATGTTTTATTTACAAAAATTAGTAAGGAACATGTCACTAAAAGTCGATGACTACAGTTGTTAACCACTAATTTTTCTCATCTTTCTAGCAGCATTTGAATTTCATGTTGGAAAAACGACATCTTTTGAAGCTAAGCATGAGTCAACCCATTTTTTGGCATCTTCATAAAGATGAAAGTACTGATTAGCCAGGTCCTGTGCCATTGATCGGAACAAGTGATAACTGGATGGGGCAATGCCTGGTGAATACATTGGGTGGGGTAGGACTTCCCATTTAAGCGTTTCAGTTTTGCAGCATGTGGCTTGTTGTTATACTGCAAAATCACTTTGTCCTTTGTTTACTTGTATAGTGGTCATTTTTTTCTTTCATTGGTTGGCTCAAATAGTATTCGATAGTGATCTCCTGGCTTCAGTCGGTTTGAGCAGCTCATAATAAAGTACACCCAGCTGATCTCACCAAATGCAGAGCAGAAGCTTCGAACTATGAATATTCAGCTTTGCCACCAATGTTGATGTATGTCCGGTCTTACTCCATGATCTTCTACACTTAGAGTTATCGTAGTGTATATCCACTTTTCATTGCCAGTCACGATACGATGCAAAAAAAAAACCTTTCCTTTACTGCTGTTGAAGCAGCTGTTCACATGTGACAAGACGTCATTTGACGTCTTTTGGCTTCAACTCATACGGCACCCAATGTCCTTGCTTTTGAATCATTCCTAATGCTTTCAAACATTTCGAAACTGTTGTATGATCAATTACTAATGATTCTAAAAGTTCAACTTGTGCCTGACATGAGTCTTTATGAAGTAATGCCTCCAATTCTTCGTCTTCAAACTTTTTTGGAGCACCGGAGTGTTCTTTATGAACATCAAAATCATTATTTTTTGAAGCGTCTAAACCAATCTCTGCATGTTGTTTCCAACAGAGCATGGTCGCCGTAAGTCTCAACAAGAATTCTGTGTCCTTCAGCTGCAGATTTCTTTTGAATAAAGCAGTGCAGTAAAATTCCCCGCAAATACACTTTCTTTGGCACAAAATCTGACATGTTTAACACTATGAAAAATAAAAATGTTTACACTTCGGCAAAATGACAATTTCAAGCTTGCTTATCGTACTTCCTTATAGATACATTGCCATCTGAAACTACATGCATGCAGTCCTAGGAACACCATCTGTTGGAAAACAACGAGAACTTATTCAAGGTCCTAATAAATAGAATTGCAGTGTTCCACATTCCAATTTATTGAACTTTTTTTTTTAAAGGTTCACAACATGTGATATCTAAACTAAAACTTGAATGCTTAAATAAAACTGTTTTACTAAAAGTATTCTTTTCTATTCAGTAGTGTACTTAATTTTTTAAATCTCATAAAATTTTAAGGATGCTCCATACAATGTATTTTAGAAAAGTTCAAATCAAAAATTTTGCTTTGAAGAGGAAATAACTAAACAATTACAATCAATCAATATAAAACCAAAAATGTTTTAAATGTGTGAGAATGTTTTATGTTCAATTTAAATTGTTCAATCCAATATTAATTTTAGTGGGGGAAGGAAAAGAAAAAAAATTGCAAAAAACATTCTTTAGAAAGAAAAATCTGATTGACATCCAATTAACTTTTAATGATTAGAAAACATTATGTGACTGGAATGAAACAAGTTATTATGGGCAGCTTGGAAAAGAGAATGGTTCTTTTAATTTAGTGAATAAATGTAACTGCTTCAGTTTCTAAACTTGCACAAGTTTTAAAGAAACAAATCCAATGGAGTTAAGATATAATGAAATTTAACTGCACAAGTGAGAAAGTTTAATAATTAAAATGTGGTATTTAAACATTCAATTTTACTGATAAAGAAAAAAATTATATGTAATCCTGCAGTAACACATTACAACTACAATTTATATACAGTTTGTAAAAATTGAATAGAAATAAGTAAGCAACTTTTAGTTTTACTCCCTACCAATCAAAATTTAAATTGGAGGCAGAAGACAATATACTGGAAACCTAATTTATTCAAGAAAAGAATCATATTTGACTGTTTTAAATGTACGATGGGTGCTGAAAGGTTCTTGGCCCAACTAAGACCTTAACAAAAGTCTCGTTTGGTTAGAGTTTGGGAAGTAGAGCTGAAAAACTTTTCAGTATTCCTTCATATTAACAGCTTGAGAAAGTAGTAGGTGTGAGCGTATGAGAGAGAGAGAGATCAAAATGTGTACAGGACAACCACAATTTCTCAAAAAATCGTTTTCCTTTTCAAAATATATTATTGCTGTTAATCTCATGGTCAAGATATTCAAATATTTTTTATGGTCAGGTGTCTTTAATAATAAGATTTTTATTTTAACCCAAACATTTATTCTAATTCCACAAGAAAAAAAAATGAATACATGTATTTAAATCGTGAATTAACATTTTTATCAATAATTTGTATAGTAACATGCAAACAGCTTACATAGAAACATTTTCTTTTACTGCAAGAAATACAGATAATGAATAAAGTTGTTCCTCCATTCAACCATAAGTCAGACATGATAGGATATATTTGAAACAAAATGCAAAGTGAATTTAAATTTAAAAAATTCAATTAAGTGTTAATTATAACTATGTGACCAAAATCCACGCCTTTGTTTGAAATAATAAAATTCATCCTTTTTCTTGCTAAAGATTTTAAAATGAATAAGGCATCAAATGTTCAAGTATCCATTAAAGATTTAGATGAACTATTGGAAAAAGTGTTCAAAGACAACATTGTCCATAAACTTAATGTTTGTGGACAATATTGTTTTTGAATTCGTTTTTTTAAAACCATTTTAGAACTTTTGAAAAAATATAAGGTTAAAAAAAACCTCTTGAATATTCTGCTTTTGTCATTTATTTATTTTTTTTTTTATAGCAACCCAAAATAGGAAACTCAGAAGCAGCCTCAAATTATATCTTCAATGTTTTCAGTGAGGAAAATCATTGAATAGCTGCTATATTACTCAAGACTAATCCCAAAATATCACTTAGTTTTAGGCATATAACTAAATTAAAAGAGAGAGGTATTTTAATATTCACTTTTTTCACGTGAAAATGATTTAGTGAAACAATATTTACTAAAATGATTTGTACATTATATAAGCAATGTTATTCTAATAATTCACTTTGTTAATGACAGTTTAGTGAAAGTAAAAGTAAAAATTCAATACTCGCAATCATGTACTTTCAAGTACAAGCTAAGTAAAATAACTAAGAAAAAAAAAAAATCTGGAGCATACCAAAAGCCAGAATGTTTCATGCAGAACAAGAAAATATTTAAGAAGATAATGCAATAATAAACCAAAATTGCTTTTGTTCCCTAATGAAATGTTTTCATATTATGAAACATAAAAAATAAAATTTAATCAATAATCAGTTGTTTACCTTTGACTGTACCAGGTACGGCAGCTTTGGGACCAGCTCCATAAAACTGCAGTTTCCTTAATTCATTGTTGGCTGAGTAATCTATTTTGGAATTTTGAGTTGGAGTCGGAACCTGTTATTAAAAATAAAATAAAAAATAAAATCAAGATAAAGTAAAGAAAAAAATAAGGTATAAGGAAATAATTCTATGAAAATAAAAAATAAATCACTTAAGATGATTATGTCTACTCAAATTATTCTTGCTTAGTGATGGTTGGAAGTTTAATATTCATATAGAATCAGATGAAAAAATTGGTTAAATTCAAAAAAAGGTAAACTTTTACAAACGGAAGAGTATTTAAAATGTAATAATTTCAATAAAGTCAAGAAAATAAATTCAGAATTCGGCTGTTGAAGCTAGAAAGCAATGCTAAAAAAAGTTGTTAGCAGCAAGACAAAATAATCTGCAATTAAAACAAGATAAGCGATAAAAATAACTTGGTGATGCAAATTGTTTCAGTATTAAGGCCCATAGGTTGGTATTCAGATAAAACTAAAATCCTGTACAAAGAAAATGGAATTCATTATCAAAGTGAAATGCCACAAAATTTAGCTTCAGTTTAAAAACTAAAAATCCTAAAAGTGAAGCACTAATCAGCTATTATTAATCTATGTAAAATGAAGAAGATGGCTACAATAACAAAGAAAACACTGTAAGATGGTTTATATTGATGTCGATCACTATTAAAAAAAAAAAAAAAAAATCATTAGCAATCTTTCATTGCAAAAGCATGTGAAAAATGCAACTTTAAATGAGGAGAAAGTTTACTGCCTTTTCTGCCATTGATATATGTTGCTTCTATAGGTTTAAATCTATACAAGCCATATATCAAGCAGCCTAAAAGAGACATTTCAACAAAAATTAACAATTATATTCGATTGTCAAAAGTAACCAATCAACTAATTTATTCTTAATAAATACATGACCATCTAATAAATAAGAATGAAACAAGACTTCAAACTTGAAATCAGTTTATCACAAAAGATCCAATGTAGTCACCATGTTCAGACAAAAAACAAAGTAACTCATTAATTTACTTAAACACTGAAATTTTTTTTTTAATTTCTTAGATTACATTTTAATCATTTTGACATTCTAATTTATTTTTTAAATTGATGATTTGGGCTCTTGAACAGAATTGGTACAAAATACAAAGAGTACCTCATATTATAATTATTAATAGAATTTGACTTAAATATAACAAAACAAAAAAATGTACCAAAAAAATACAAGCAATAAAGAATAACTTATCTATTGCATTTTGAAAAAACAGACAAGATTGAATTTCTCAGTCATCTTTAGTAATGAACTCTAAATATTTAAAAAAAAAAAAAATTCTTTTTAACTTTAAATAATAAATACATTGTTCTCAAGTTGGTGTAAATATTATGCTAATTGATTAACTACAAACACGTTTTTCAAAATTAATTAATCTTGTCTTGTGTTATAGACAAGGATTTTGTAATAAAATTACAACAAAACGTTTTCAAGAACAAAACAATACCAGTGATTGCATAAGTTCCCCCAATTTTACTGTTTAAAAATCATTTAAGATGAACATCTGGGAAATTACACACACACATACATGTTGTGATGGGTAAATTGTTGCCATTTTATATTTTTAATTTTGTGCATGCATTTTGTTTTTGTCAACTACACATTGGGCACCGTCTATGAGTAAAAGAGCACCATGACGCAATTCACACAACCAGAAATTTGGAAACGGCATGTTGCACTGCTTGGCATTTGTAACGGAAGCTCCAATACAAACATTTCAGAGTGTTTGGGTATCAATCTGAAGACTACAGAAGATTCAGAAAGATTTGGATGAGTCTAATGGTGATTACGAAGGTAATTAGAGCAATCACTAATGATGGTGACATTATGCCTCCATTTATCTTTCCATAAAGCCTCAGATTCAACATGGAGGCCTACATCAAATGCCTTGAGGAGGTAGTGCTGCCTTGGGCAAAGAGGGTGGCTGCTGGAAGACCATATATCTATCAACAGGACTCTGCACCATGCCACACAAGCAGGAGAGCCCAGTCATGGCTGTCAGACAATTTCTGTGACCACATCACCTCTTACATCTGGTCACCAGACTGCAACTCTCTTAATTATTATGTGCAATTGGTAGAGACCAACAAAACTTGTAACCCCAAAGAAGAACTGAAGGCAAGGATTATGGCAGCATTCACCATCTTAAACATGGAGATCATCCAGAAGAATTGCAGGAGATTCTAAAAGTCACCTGAAGGGGCTGTGGTTGAAGCCAATCGCAATTTTATTGAATAAATTTACTCTTTAGCAATTAAAGATATTTGTGTAATTTTGGTAAATATATCTGTTAAAATGTGATGTCAGTGTTACTTTCATTTTTGCATAATTTAGACAATTTATCCAGTGCACCCTCTGTGTGTGTGTGTGTGGGGGGGGAAACAAATATTCATACACATACAAATTTTTAATTTATTGTATTTTCAACTAATGAATAAACATACATAAAATGGATAAATGGGATTTATTTCTATTAAATCAAATTGTTTTCTGTTTTCTATGCATATCTAGTTATTATGCATCTGTGTACAGTTAATTATATGAAACATATTTTATTCATTGGTTGGAAATACAATAAATTAAATCTTTGTATGTATACGAATATTTGTTTCCCCCCACTAATACGTGTGGGTGTGTGCGCTTTCCAACCTACAAAACACGTTCATGAAGACCTTTCTTTGAACTACTTCCCATCTTAACTTGGACTGGTTTTCCCCTAACAGTAATGCTTCAACATCTGATGTTTAGCCGACTTAAATAAATAAAGGCTTCATTGAAGCAAAATAAACAAAAGTGAGAAGGCATAAAACAGAGACCATATGGAGTGCAGAATCATTATTGAAATTTGTAAATGTAATTAAGTTTATGGAAATAGAGAGAAAAAAACTTGAATAGAAATGCAACAGAACCTAAAACAAGCATTTTAAGTAGCATATAAAAATTAAAAGGCTAAATTTGAGGATTCTGGAATGAAAGCAAAAATGTTTTATAAATTTCATATTAAGACAACAGACTCAGTTGACTTGCAAAATTGTTTATGCACACACCTGAAATATATAAATAGAAGCTAATCAAGTTAATAGGAATAAAACATCTGAGTAATGTCAGCTGTTTTCATCAATTCAGTCAAAGTCAATTTAGACTATAATCATTACCAAATAGATTTTGTTAGAAAGTCAATGTGGCACAGTGAGTGATAGCAGCATCCTCATGTGGTTATGAACTTGTGCTATTTTGTAAAATAGTTTATATGTATGAAATTGCAGTTAACAAGAATGCAATCAGTTAGGCATTGTTATTGCAAATCAATCATTAGGAAATAGAAAGTGTATGTATGATTTTTTTAAAAACTTGAACCAATGTAGTTCCAAAAAGGATTTAGCTGTAAACACCGAGAGAAGAAATAGCAAAATATATAAGTGGCAAAAATATAAAAATACATATTCTTTATACAGTTTCTTAAAAAATAAAAAATTGTAAGCAATGTTCATACATTCACATATTATAGTGCATAATAATCAGTAATAAAGCTTAATTTACATTTAGTTATGAGTTTCTAATAGATTTACAGTTCAGTGTAAATACATTAAAGATTTTAATGCTTATCACTTAAGAACCATCCAAGTTTTATAGGTACCTCCACGTTATTTCAAACTAAATTTTAAATGTGTTGCTTTAACCAAAATAACTTTTCTTGTTTTCATTGCAAGAAATTCACATAAACTTTTTGACTGATCAAAGTCTGGGGGCATTTCATGGGACAGCCGAAGTATGGGTGACCACAAATGATTTTATTATCTTAATGATTTTTAATACATACAAATTACCCAAGTTCTTTGGATACTACAGAAAAAAATGTTTTGATACTTAAAAAAAAAAAAAAAAAAAAAAAAAGAAGATTTATTTACTATTGTTGCATTTTTAGATAATGTCAACACCGCTTGACTTAATATTTGAGAAAATAAGAATGAATTTGAAGACACTCCCCCCTCCCTAAAATTCTTTTCAGATTTTTAACCTACTTTTTATTTTCAGATTCAGAGTATATTTTCTACATCTGGTTAAAGTTGCAAATAAAGTTTCAACTAGTTCAACTTTCTGGTGACTTAAATGTAAACAAGTAAACAAAAGATATTTCATAAAATTAAATAGAGTATTTGATGAGCAAAACAATTTTTTTTATATAAATACTGTACTCCTTAATTGAATAATGAAAATTTTATTGAAAACTGAAAACATATGGCAGAATTTTAAAATTAGTTGTTTTGTTTGCATCAAAAAGTTTTTTCATGCAAATTATTACATCATATTTTTTAAACAACTTTTCAAACAAATATCTCAAGTTATAAATAGCAGATACTGATAATTTTACATTGGAATTTTCTCCAGTATTTCTCCTTAATAATTGCACAAAGATCATGATAAAATTAAATTATCCAAGTTTATTTTATCAAAAGCACATGGGGGTACCTAAAAGAAGCCAAGGCTCCTGTTCTACATATAAGCTACCAAATGAATGTTTGCATTGAATGTAGTTTCTCCAAATACTGAATGAAGAGTGTAGGGATGACAAAAGCAATGCAATTTTACCAAATTGTAAGAGACTAGAAGAGTAAACAATAATATAAATACAATCCTGAGGTACAAGACATGGAATTTTTATTGATACTGACATCATTATCATTATTTTCACTGATGGTTTTATTAGTGTTTTCCAGCAATCATGTGTGCCACATTTCACACAATGAAAGATGAGGAGATTAAAAAGTTATCATCAACTAATGAGACAAAAGTTGCAAATTCAATATAAATCCCCCCTAAGTATTAAGTATGGCATTTGAGGTTACTAGGAAAATCAAACATTGATAAAAATAACAAAGATCAGGATGTTAGTCAATTGCAATATTTATTTCATAAAGCAGAAGACTGACATGAGGTAAGATTTATAGATTCTAGGTAAGAGGTTTAATTTTTGAAGAAAGTTATGCAATTTTAAAAGAAAAAGTAAAGCAGTTTAGTGGATGAAAGTCGGCTAGTGCTGAAACAGATGAACACTGCAAAACAATAACTGTTAACCAATTTACTCATTAAAAGCCATTAACAAACCAATGGGAAATATCCAAGGGTACATCACCAAATGCAGATAGATACATATACAATAAAGTAAATAACTTTTTTGCTTTTAAATTATAAACCTTGTAAAGATATTGTGGGAAATTCATTTCTCTTAATTCTTCTTAAAATTAATTTAGGAGTGGACATAAAAATCAGCCGAAAATGAATTCCCATTGAAATAAATTTATCCTTCAATAAAACTGGCTTTTAAGAGCAATTAAGGAATGAATTTTTGGGAAAAGAACAAATTACATTAAAATTAGACAAATAGTTATGAAAATATAAAATTTTAAGATTAGTTTTTGTTTTAGCCATTAAATTTAAACTATTATAATTAATATTTCTAAAACATTAAGATGCTAAGAAGTTTGTATAGATTCTTAACTAACTTGACAACTAAATATTATCAGAAACATTTGTTGTACATGTTTTCTGAAAATATTAAAAAAAAAAAAAATGTATACGAGTAAGTGGTAAGCAGTGTGAGCAAGAAAATGTTCCTATTGACAACTGTTGAAAAAGTTAATCTTTTTTACTACTTTTTACTTACTGATTGTTGGCAGCATCTGGGCAACATCTCTTTGGTCAGTAGACAAAACAATAAACATCAAACAGACCAGTTTTAATTATTGTCAGTATCATTATTATCATATACACCATACAATTATTTTTTTCTCTGCAGAACTGGTAATAAAAAAAAATGTAAAAAAATAAAAATATTTTCATATTCATTTTGCTTAGAATGGATAAATTCTTGAGAAAGGAAAGAAATATGGCATGTAATACCATATGTCATAAGCTATATATAATAAATAAGCCTTGGTATCAAAAATTAATATTGAATGGGTAATAAAGTTTCTTAAAATTCTAAACTAACTAGAAATCTCTGCAAGATAATACTTACTATAACTATTTGATTTCATTTTAGGATAAAAATGAAACTCCAATTGATTTTTTACAAATTATTACTTTTCTTTTTACACATTTTAGACAGAGGCTGTCTAAAAACTTAAAATGAAAATAACTGCAAAAATTAACTTTGTAACAAAGAAAAATGTCTCAATTTTTCATTAACAGAAGGTCAAATATTTTTGTTAATTTTCATGTCCATACCTAATTTAAGATATTTACCAGCCAATTAATAACATTTATCATGCATGTCACACAGCATATGCTCACAAGATGTTTGTAGTTGTGTATTCTTCTGGATATATATTCACCTTGCCATTAACAAAGTTTGGGCATAGTGTCAAGCTTACTACTATGTTTTTTTCCAGTTAAGCTGGTATATATGAACTCAACTACAACATGCTTGGAAACTTAGTTTCTTCAAATGAATTTCCCACACCTGAAAATTCCTTACCTCCAAAATTCCCTGCCAGAAGTGTCAAAGACTTGTCATTATCGAAATAAAGATTTAAAACCTAAGTGCAGTAACAACAATAACAACAACATCAAAAGAAAAGAAAATAACACCTGTGTTCCCTCACTTGGGAATTGGCAATAGTGAGATAGAATTGGGAAGATGAAGAGGGTAAAAAGAAAAAGAAAAAGATCATTGGAAGCCACAAAAGGGAGATCCAATTCAGTAACAAGATGTTGGTAAGCCTACTTACTTCTTTGATATTTCTCTTAGTTTTCCGTGTGTACCCCCCAGCTGATGAATCCGTGGCTACTACCCCATGGGGTTTGTACTCCTTATCCGATTTGTCATCAGCGTCATCGGAGTGCATCTTTGAAGCCTGTGGAAATATTACACACTTGTGGTGACATTCTATCCCCAGAAGTCTTAACATCTATCTTCATTCTAATAAGGACAAAAACAGTAAAATGGAGATGAAAGCAGTAGCTTAGTCAACAAACAAGCCACTTGTAAAAAGAATGAAAGAGAGAAATGGAGAGATTTGATAGTCGATGGTTTTTTTTAGTTAGCACTTCATAAGAGCAAAGAAATGAAATGCTAACCAAGAAAGCAGCTAACAAGCGTAGAAACAATTGCTAACTGCTTTTAGATGAAGTTTCAACTGTCTGGCAACCAACAAAAATGAAGGAATTTTTTTTTATTCACTTCACTAGCAAGGCCACTAAAACCATAAAAATCAGATCTTTACAAAATAAAATAATGAATATTGACAAGAAGAACCCTTATTTGTTCACACTTGTGCTTTAGGTGTTCCCGTCCTTTGTTAGGAATAGAGAGCTGTACCAAAGCTTATCAGATATATTGGTACCAAGAAAAGATACCAGCTTAAAATGATGTTAGCTGGATGAGCAATGCTTTTTGTCTTTCCACAGAACTAAAGTAAATACTTTCCTCTTCAGTCATGTATGACAACTATTTAAGAAATATCACATAATATTTATCACTATATATATATATATATATATATATATATATACCTACATTTCATAGATTTACCCACCTATTAAGAAATAATTTCCGCTAAATAAACCTACATTTCCATTTCTTAAAATGGATTCAGTCTTTGTCAGGCCGATGGAGAGGATAAAACTCAACATTATACCAATTCCCTGGAACTAATATAAAACAAAAAAATAAAATAATAATAATAATAATAATAATAATGATGATGATAAAAAAAATAAAAAAATAAATAAAGACCCCTATTATAGAAATAGAAGGAGGGTAAAATTTAAAAAAAAACAAAAAAAAAAAAAAAACAAAAAAAAAAAACAACAGTTTTTTGTATGACAAGTGTTAAAAAGATAGCACAAAACACTGTAAAGGACTATGTCACCATACAGAAAAGAACTACACAGAGTGAGGTGGGGAGAGGACAAAACAGAACATTGACACACACACAGACAAAGGTATGCAACACTATTGTTGAACAATGCCCATAAAATTTCATTCTTTTCTTTTTAAAGTAACAATATTACTAATAACTAATTTGGTATACAAAAGATTAAATATACAATTTTTAAACTTTAACAGAAAATATTCACTGAGAATTTGGAAAGATTTTATTTATTCAAACAGTTTTAATGAATTTAATTGAATTCAATGAATCTTCTGATCATTATAAAGGCAACAAAATATTTTGAAATATTTGTTTGATGCTGTTTGTTTTTTTATATTTGTGCAGACAAACACAGCATTTAGATATTACAATACTGCAAATTATAATCTTTTTAATTTTTAACATTCTTGTATAATATCTTTGCCATAAAAACTGAAGCTAAAACTCACTGATTGTTCACTGATTTTCAATATAATAAACAAAAATCTAAAAGTGTTACTTTGGTAACAACTGTTAGACAATTATCAGAATTTATTTTTTTGGAGTGGAGGAGGTAATACTCATTTTAATCTGAATTATTTTATAGTCAAGTTCAAAGAATGTTTCTAAATTGGAGTTTTTTTCATAATATAACATCCAAAGATCGATGTAACTTTGACAAAAAAAGAAAAGTAAATTTTCAGAGTGGGGGGAGGGGAGGTTATGGCCTTGCTAGATAGATGACAAATTAATACTACAAAATCCTAAGAAAATGAAAACTTACCTTGTGTGAATAAGGTTGATCATTTTTAAAAAGCCAAAATGGATACAGAATCCTGTCATAATGAGCCTTCACAATTGATCCAAGACCTTTGCCTGTTGGAAGGCCAAGTTTTGTAGCCACCTGGGCCCACTTTTTCTCTTTCACAACATTATCATAGCCACCAATTTCATCAACAATCTGCAAAAGAAAATACCCAAAAAACACATAAGCATTTCCATAGAAGACACAGCTTAGATTTTTTTTATTGACCTTTTTGCAATGAATCTAGTTAATTATTAAAAAAAAAAAAAAAAAAAAAAAAAATACAAATAAAAAATTTGCTATTTCAATAGATTTGAACAATTTTATCAGGTGTAAAATAATTTTATTTCATAATTTAATGTATGAAATATTTAAGTATTAAGCATCAATTGTTATTTATTATTTAATGTCTGAAATCCTCCCAATCAGTGTGAAATAATGTATGCAAGAACAAATTTAATTCAATAACTTTTAGGGTGGAATTTAACTAATAAGTTAAAATCATGGTTACAAACAAAAGCATAAAAATTACAAAAGGAAACAATAAACAGTCCTGCTTATGGAAGATGTCAAATTCAGGATTGTTTGCATTTGAAATGGTTTATGTTTTCACTTGTGACAAATGTCTTATTAGTAAGAGCTTAATAACTTTTAAAAAAGTAGAAAGGAAAAACAAAAATATTTTTAAAAAATATTTGAAAATTTAATCAGATTTATTTCATTCTTAATGCAAATCAAATCATTACAATATTAAAATACTTTTTCAGATAAGACTTTGAAGGAATGTATTTCGAGTTTCTAAATTTTTACAGAAGCTTTTGACAAAGACATTTCTACTCTAAGATAGTTTGAAACTAATTTTTTTTATAAGAGTGGAAAATAATGTCAAACATTACATTAATAAATGTGGTATTGCTCACCTTGTACAGTACAAATAGATCCAGTAATTTTCTTTCAACATGAGGGATCCTAAGAGAACAGCCCTGCATGAGAATAAAATCAAAACAATATGAATGAAACAAAACCAAATCTTGCTTACTTCTTCATGTATGGTTGAATCATAGCAAGTGGGCAATAAATAGACCCCTTGGATAATTCATTAGAATCCTTCAAGTATTGTCTATAATGCTGAGAAGAGAGATTAACATATCCAGTATGGTTTGGACAGTCAAATCTCTTTGTACAATCTACATGACAATTACATTCACCAATGTAGAATTAATTCAGATGTTTAAAAGTCAATCAAAATGGCAGTAAACAAAAAAAGAAAACAACTAAAACTGAAAACAATCTTTTCAAAATAATATTGCTTTTATTTTCATGCCAAAACCCTACTGTTTAAGGGCCAGGAATTTGATTGTGCTATTGATAAAAAGTGATTTTCAGAGGGTGTTTGTGAATGAAGAGTGGAAAAAGATTCACTAGATAGACAAGAGTGCTGGATAAGAAGAGATGACAAACTTCCTACAAGGAATGTGTCAACATTACATAACTAGTACATGCATGTTGGGTAGTGTTTAATAAGCTCATCTTTTAGATTCTTACTACAGAATAGTGAACTTGATCTTCACTGGTTGCATGATATTTGTGGCTTTGTGTTAGACAAAACCAAGCTTAGTAAATTAAATAGTTTGATTGGATGTGCAAGAAGTGTAAGGTTTACCAACAACAGAAAATAGAACACACTGAGTTCAAATATTAACTATTAATTCCCACTGTGTGTTAATGTCCTTGAGAAAGGCATGAAACCACTTTCCCCTTACACTCTACCCAATCACCAGATATCTTGAAGAAAAAAAAAAAAAAAAAAAAAAATGGTTTGCCACTAACAAGTTACAGCAGTTGAGAGAGAGAGAGAGCTAATAAGGTAAAACATGCACAATCTTGTGCCAAAAAGATCTTTCACATAAATGTACATTTAGATGTTTCCTCAGAAATTTTTGTCATTGTTAAATTGTTAACCTAATAATTTTTTTGTTATTTGTATGACAGTTAACAAATTGCAATGCTGACAGTACAAAGATACAGGCTGTTTGCAGTTGATTGCACTTTGTTACCAACACCCAGACTTCAAATGAAAAATAGGCAGCGCCCATCCTCAAATATACTGTAAGGTAACAAAGCTAGTGAATATATCAATTTCAAAAGCTGTTAAAAAAATTAATGCACAATTTATACAATATTTTTTTTTTATTCCATTACAATCAATAACACTTACTCAAAAAGTAATATCAATTATTTCTCTGATTGTCAAGAAATGATGAAAACATTAAAAGGCAAACACTTTGCATAACTCACAGTATGATTAACACAGCTTATTACCTCTTTCTAGATTTATACCTCAATGGTTTCTTCATTAAGGAAACTTCAAGCTTGAGAAGAATATATTGTTAGAATTATAACAATTTCTTTTGTTAAATGGAGACTTGTTTTGATCAATTTTTATGTCCACACACAATGTACCATTCTGATGTATTAGTATCATGAAACCCAAACTAAATTTTCAGACATACCTCCTGTCAAGTTTTTGTAAGAGCAAGCATTAAATAATAATAATATTCATTGGTTACTTTTTATCAAGTTCAAAAACATTAGGAAAGTTAACATGTCCAAGGCTATGACAAAAGATTGGTTTTGCAAATATAAAATGCATTAGCAGAAAGGAAACCTTAAATACAAAATAAACTATTGTAATAAAGCCATTAAAAATAAAATGAGAAAATGATTTTAACAAGAAATAAACAAATAACTGTTTCAAAATTAATTACTTACCTGCAATTCCCAAAATCTTGCAAGCTGATCCAGGAAATTTAATTTTATTCTTGACTTAGCCTAAAAAGAAATTTAAAAAAGATTAAAGGATGAACTTACATAGTGCTAAATAAAAAAAAAAAATTAATAATAATTAAAGCTTATTTGGACTATATTCTTAAAAATTGAATAACTAGTTTAGAAGTTTTATAAAGCCTATTACAACTGAGAATACCAATTAATTCAAGGTAAAATAAAAATTTACAAGAAAAATATAACATTAATATAATCCAAATATAAACAAACATAAGACAAACTCAACTATACTTTTTAGTACAAATTTTTATTATGCATGTGGAAAGAGAAAGAAATATGAATAAATTGAAAGTAAATAGAAAACCAAATTTCATATTAAAAAAAAAATACATTCACAAATATAGTTGTAAATAATACAGCAGCAAAAGCTCTATTAATCTTAGTAACCATTGTTTCATTAGTGGAACATATTACAAGACATACGTTTGGGCATGAAAAGATAAAGTAGCTTAAATATTGACAATGAAACAGATCAAATAATGTAAAAATAATAGAATTCTATGTTAATACAGCAGGAAATTATATAACTATATTTCTCAGAGAAAAAAAGAAATGGTGAAATTTTAATAGATTATAATCACCTGAAGTTGAAAGGTAAAAGGATTTTTCAGGACCTTATAAAGTCCTTTTTATTTTATATTAAAGTAGCATTTAAATCAGAATTCTGAGTTCAAGTTCCATTTGAGGCTGTTGTGTTTGTTTTCCACTAATACTCTTGAGAAAATCATTAATCCAATAGGAGAATAGACTGCCTCTTTAATTTTAGTAAGGCAACCTGGCTAGAAGAAGAACATCTTCTGTGTGAATACATTGTGGGTCAGCATTAAAGGGTAAATATAACAGGGCAAATAAGACTCTCACCTAGTTTGGCAACCAGTCCCGGAGAAGGATATCTCTGAATTCAAAACAGGACAATGTAAAGAGAAAACACTCCACTATTTTTCCTTACAGTAATATCAAAGTACAGTGTACAGAAATTATAAATAAAACTGTGGAGAGTCACAATCACTTAAGTCCTGAATGAACATAATAGTATTTAAATTGAAATAGAATGAATGGAAAATAATTGAGAGTAACAAACATACAAAAACTGAAATAATTAGGAGATACGAGATCATTAATTTTTCTATTTATCAATATTTGACTAATAATCCCAAGAGTTAACTAATGCAAAATACAGAATTTAATGTATTATTCTACTTAAAGCAGCAATAGATATTATTTATAATACATGTTAATTCATTTAGATCTGTATCGAAATAGAATAAGAAATTCAAAAGCTAAACTATACAGTAGAGTATGATTTCTGTAGCATTAACATCAATATATTGATTCTATAAGGGCCGTAAAGAAACTGAAATGTGAATATGACAACAGATGCTTAAATCCTAAACCTACTCTATGCAAACTCTTAATATACTGGTAATTCTTGTTGGAACAAATATTAATATCATCAACTTTTTTTACTATTATAAAAGCTGATTTATGTTTAAAATTCACATTTAAATAACATTTTTAAAAAAGTTTACCATGATAAAATGATATATAAAATGAGAGAGAGAGATGTACATACACAATATTTGTGAATACCTGACTAATGACAATGAGGAAGCAATGTCAAATAAAAATATTAAAATGAATATGGATACATAAACTTAACAAGTCATCCAGATTAAATCACATGTCCATAATATGCTATAAAAAGGATAACTCTGAATTCAAAACAGGACAATGTAAAGAGAAACAACACTCCACTATTTTTCCTAACAGTAATATCAAAGTACAGAAATTAAAAATATTACAATGAATATGGATACAAGAAAAAAAAAAAAAAAAAAAAATGGTGACTAAAAATCAATATAAAACTTTTATTAGAAACATGCAACAACAAACATTGAGAATAAAGAACCTTTCGGAATTGGTTCAATAATTCTCAAGTTCCTTTTCTGGGTTGCAATTACATATGCAATTCATGCACAACATTTAGAAATATGACCAATCTTATGATGAGAGAACACTTTAAAAATATGTAAGAAAAAAAAAAAAAAAAAAGTAAAAAAAGAAAAAAAAAAAAAATGAAAAGACCAATGAACTGAAGTAGTTTATCATGTTCAAAAAGTTTTATATCTTAATAGAATTTATTCACAAAAACAGTAAGATTCTAAGCCAGTCTAAAGCTGACCTCTGCTTCATTGACTATTAGTTTTCTAATAGTCAATAAAAATTAGGCAGTTCAAATGATTAAATTAACTACTAAATAAAATCAAGTTTAGTCAATGCCAACCCAAATTGGAGTTAGGGTTATAAATTTTTGTCAGTAAAAGACTGCCAACTAAAGTGCATTCAAATACTGACATCAACTACAAGGTCCATTTTTTTTTTTTGCCTCTGCATAAATGCAGTTCCTTCACATGTATGGATGGTCAGTGTTGTAACAACAGTTATGTTGCTAACAAAAGTCAGGGAAACAATAACAGACAAAAGAGTAACCCAAGATATGATTAAGCAGCTGATTCAGTATAGAAAAAAAAACAAGCAAATGAAATCCTCCATAATAATCAGAGACCAATGAAACAATTTTATATATGTATAAAAGCTAATGAAGGACCAACACAGCAAGGCACAAAAGCCAAACAATTTAACTATAAGCCAAGTACTTATAAACTATTGAACTGTAATATTGATTTAGTTAATTTAGGAATGGGAGAGGGGACAATCTCCAAAAAGATACCTTATCCCACAAAGAGGTATAAACATTTTTTTTTTTTTAAGAAAATCAGTCACAAAATTTTAGTGTAACAATTTAAAAAAAATAAAAAGTTACAATACATAGCAAACTTTAATATTCAAACAGTAAAATATGAACAAAACCAATCACAAAACTTAATATGTAAAAAAAAAAAAAGAAAACGCTTTTATAGGTAACAAAAAGTAATTTTTAGAAAACTTCATTAACTGTGACATTTATTGTATAATGGCTCTTGCCAAAAAAAAAAAAAGAAGAAAATGATTCCTTATTTTACTTATAAGGTTATAAGCAATACAAAATATTATTGTCTATTTAATGAATAGCAAGTTGAAATGTTCATGAAACATACAAAAGATAAAAACATCACTTTACAGTGAACTGAATATATTTATTGTTAATAAATGAAACTAACATTAAATTCTACACATTGAAATTGATCTATAATCCCATAAATTTAGACAATTAGAAACTGTAAATTCCATAGAAATTAACAATGGATCACTTCAGAAACTTTAGTAAGAGAAATTTTAGTAGAGAATAAATTTTATATTAAAAGAATAATTCTAATACAAAAATACACATCAAAGAATAGTCAAGAATAAAAGCATATTTTTCTTAAAAAATTAGCAATACAAAACTGTTAATAAATATTTATTTTTTAAACAAAGAAAAAAATTAGGATGATTAGATCATTAAAAACCCCAGAGCAGAAGGAATTTATGAAAGAGGGAGAATCCAGATATAATTCCATGTCTATGAAAGTTCATAATTTGTGGAATGGTAGAAAAACTAACAAAAGAAGGTCTATTCTATCAGCTTGAAAGTTGCTATGCAAAGGCAATTCATCTGTTCTCTTTAAAAAAAAAAAAAAAAAAAGCACAACAAGCTACTGCAAACAATTCAATAAAACTGAGCAATCAATTGCAAAATATAGAAAGAACAACAATTTCATTTCTACAAAAAAATTTCATAAAATATATAGGCAGTAACATTACAAAAATGAGAAAATATTTGAATTTGAATACAAAACTCAAACAATTAACTCTAGAAAAAAACTCCACTGTAGCCTACAGAGTAAAATAAATAATGAAGTAATTAAAAAAATTTTTTTCATATATAGTTCTATTTTTCTGATTAAGAGTCATCTATATTAAAGCAAAAATCAGATTTAAATATTAAGATATGTTTAAACTTTAGGTTGAATATAGAATAGTAAAAAAAGATAGCCAATGATTTAAAAAAAAAAAATACATTCTTTTTCATATAAGGAAAATAGACAAAGTTGTGATAAATTAGGTTCATAGAACATTCTTAATTTAGAGAATAAAATAATTTCCTCTGAAGTGCCTAATAGATAAAATGCTAATTCCATTACCCACACAATTGTTTTTTTATCTTGCTGATTAAAATTTAATGATTTTTTAAACTAGTAATTATGTTAAAAATTTCAACATGAGTGACATTCACTTAAAATGAACTAAAGTAAGGATTTTTAATGTGAATTAGACTGAAATTAAATTAAAAAATGTAATACTTTATAAAATTGCATTATAGTACATAGTAAAAATAAATTTCAGCAAAAGCTTAGAGAAGCTCATTAACTCTATAAAGAATTACAATATCAACTAAATTACAAACTATCCTTGTTGATTTAATATTAGGTCAAGCTATTTCGATTCAATTTCATAAATTTAATGATAAAATCAGTTAATGTTAGATTAATTTTAGCATAATTGTTATAACTGTTTTATTTCTACAATTTAGGAAGTCCACTAAATTGCTGGCATTGCTTTATACAGAATTTAAAGTTGTAGCAGCATTACTATTGTACTACTACTACTACTGAATAGGAGTAGTAACAGTAACATAAGAGACCAACAATTAACAGCTGATAAGTTTCATTTCAGATAAAATTAAAAAAAAAAAAAATAGCTAGTAGAACAATACTAATTAATCAATTTATTTTAAATGACCAAGTGTTAAAATAAAGACAACAATTTGTCAAGAGTAGACTCATCAGTACAAAAGATGTTTTAATTCTTTTCAAGCTCTTAAAGCATTTGTAGACATCTTCCACCTTTATTTTCAAGAGATCATCCACTAAAATTGTTAATTAATCAATGCAGTTAAATAAAGGGGTAAAGAACAAAGAAGAATGTATAGAGAAATTCCATATGAGGAAACAAACTTTATAGGGTGGGTGGGGTGCAATGAATATAAAAAGAACATGACATCAATTCAGCTTGTGTGAACTAATAGGCCAGTGTGGATTAACTTGATTAAGAAGTAGTGGTAAAGCTGGTGTCTGAGTTTGAATCTCAGTAGCAGTTGATCTCTAATCTACAATGTTAGTTGCTGAACTAATGTCTATTATCAGTGACAAATTTTATCCACACACTCCTTCACTTGACAGATCAAAAGCTTAAAAATATAGCCAAAATAGTAATCTAAATGTAATAAAAAATTTTATGTGGATGACAAAATTTTTTTTTTACTAATACAGAAAATAGATGCTTCTTTGAATTAAAACTGAATTCTCAAAGGAGAAAAAAGGGCATCCAAAAAAAAAAAAAAAAAAAAAAAAAAACAAAAAAACATCACAAATCAATTTTCAGTGCAAAAGCAAAAAGATTAAGTTTGCAATTTTTAATGCAAGAATTGTTTGAAGAATGATAGAAAAGTCAAAAAGATTTGAAAATAAAGAGGAAAGAAACTGTAAAATTCTGAAGATGTTTGTGAGCATTCGACATTTTCTAAATACTCAAAATGGAATTCTTTTATGCATTTTTATAATAGGTAGCACATGCATAAAATTGGAAAGCATAAAAAACAGACAGTTGCTTTACATTCAAAAACAGGGCATTGGAATGTTGAGATCGAAGACAAATACATTAGACTTACTTTTTTTTTTTAAAGAGACAAAGACGTTGCTTAGAAAAATGTAAATTTAATCAGTTCAAGCATTACAAATAATTTAAATTTGAAAAAACAAAAAACAAAACATAGAAAGCCATATTTTTAAAGCTGTAGTATAAATAAAAAGTATGTGCTTCTCTCCTGTTTGTGTGTGTGTATATTATATATATATATATATATATATATATATGCACACACAAAGGGTTGATGATGTTTGAAGCCTGATCAGCTTAATCTGTAACAAAATATTTTTTTTAGGAAAGCCTTATTTGGTCAAGACAAAAACTTTTTATATATATATATATATATATATATATAACGATGATTTCAGTATCTTCATAGATGATTGCCATCTCATTAAACATTGTACAATAGATATACCAAAAATAATATTTTATATATATATATATATATATATATATATATATATATATATATATATAGCAAATTATATTCATGTAGGCTTTAGATATAGTAGACATTATACGTCAATAAGGCAGTCATATGTAATGATCTGGTTGAAAGAGTCATTGCAAATGAAGGTGAAGAAGAGGTGAGGGGAAATGCTCTGGTTTACGTGGCATGCTTTAACTTTGGTAGTGTACCTGTCATTACTCAAGTGCATCTCAACAATAATAATTAATTTGCATCAAAATGGTTATAATTTCCTGTTTTTGAGTGGCGAGGATAACCCTTACAAGCATCAATAAAATTTAAAAAAAAAAAAAGTAAAAATAAAAATTCCCAACTAATTAAAATAGTTTGATTTAAAATAGTCCATAAAAAATTTCAATAAAAGATTGAATTAAAATAACAATAGAACAAGGTTTCCTTGAATATAAATTTAGAAGTGATTGAAAATAATCCATAAGAATTATAGTGAAATATGTATAATGAAAGAGACAGAGGACATGATGACTTCAATTTACTTTTGACTAGATCTGTCAGAGGGAGGAAAAAGAACATATGGAAAGTAAATAATTAATCTGAAATGGTTAATCTTTATTCTTATGACATTGAATTGCATTAGATAACAGAAATATAAGGAATGAAAAAAAAGCTTTGAAGAATAATAACAATAACTAAAAATCTATTCAAAATTGACATTAATACATAGTTTTATAATTATTTACAGTAAGATCCAAATTAAAATAAAGAATAATCAAGAACTCCAATTAATCAATTAAACTAATTGCTTATTTATCAAGGCAGGGAAAAATAATGATTGAAAAAATTAGAACTGATCATAAAAATAGAAGTGTGAACTTTTATGAGAAAGGAAAATAGACAAAATAAAACTATAGAAAATCTAAATAGAAATAAGATTTTTTTTAACAATTTGTAAACTTTAGGGAAAAAAAAAAATTGTATTGTATGCCTTTCCCGAGAATTCACCAATAGTGTGTGTGTGTGTGTGTGTGTGCACACAAGAGAAAGTGCTAGAATGAGTAAGTTCTGGTGTAAAAAAAAAAAAAACAAAAAAAAACACAATAGCAAGATTATATGTACGGATTGATAGTAAATAAAAAACTACAAGTAAAATTTAATGTTATATCTGATAAACTTTTCCAATACTTTAAAAAAATTTATTTTTTTTTTTAAAAGAATCTGAAATCTAAAACTAAACTTTATTGACATCTAGGACCCTAAGTGAAACCAATTAGGATTTACTTAGTTTCAGTTAATGACAGTTTCAGTTTGCCAAACCATGAAAACACAAATAGTGATAAATATTGAAATATAAGGAAAGAAGATAAACTATCAATACTACTATACAACAAAGCAATCATCAATTTTTACTTTAAGTGGTATTTAGAGAGCCTTCATAGAGCAGTGTTATAGTAGCCACAGTACATTGGTACCTTCTGGGCTGAGTAACTATCAAAGTTACAATAAAAAAAAAAAACATTTAAAGCAAAGCAGGTCAATATTTTTTCTCTTACAAATAGGATTTATTATTTTTATTTTATTTTTCACAAGGCCATTACCACTGTAGCACCAGGTAAAAGACTTATTCCTACTACTATTATTACTACTACTACTACTACTCTTCTTAGTGAATTGATAATACAGATTAGGCAAAAATAAACCTATATTTTTTTATTTTAATTTGACAATTTCATTATAATTTAAGATTTAGATTAGATGACATAATCCTTACAAAAACGGAAAACATGAAACAGAATATCGTTTGAAAAGTTATACTATTCCAAATATTTGTTTCGAGTGGAATAATAATAGTAAAAAGTTCTGTGTAGACTATTTTCAGTCTTGAGAAGCGTCATGGTAAAGATCACAAGTGGATGCAAATGGATTAAAGACTTAATAAATACATCTACGTACATACATAATAAACACAGACAGCTGGTGTGTAAACACACGCACACACAAACCTTACGACTGATGACGCACCCTAAACGACAGTTTTTTTTTTTTTTGCTTTTTTTTGATGAGGTGAAATGAGAGGGTAGTGAGGAAAGTGATCAAACTTAACAAGAATGGTGATGGTGATCTAATAAAATGCAGAAACTTTGAGGGAGACCTGGCACAAGGAAGAGCAAAAACGAATAATAATAATAATAATAAAGCCAGGGGTAAACAGAACAAAAAGTCAAGTAAATATCATTAAAATGTAAGGGCACCAGCAGCAGCAGTGCGTGTGTCGGCCATATTGTGTGGCTGGCTATCAGAAGGAAGGAAGCTAAGACTAGGGTGTTCTTGTATTTTCATTCGATTTCACTTATTCTAACAAAAAAAACAAAAAAGACTCATATCAACAATCAGCACAGAGGGGGAAAATACTTCGATTCGTTGAATCATTTTTGTATTTTTAAATTAAGTAAAATTGTTCAGCTTAAACCCCTGAGCAAATTTACAATTATCGCTACGAGAATCCTGACGTAGATTGAACAGAAACTGTGATATTTCTGTTGTTCAAGGGACTCCAGGACTATGGAGATTTTTTTTTCCACCGACCCACAATACATCCATTCAGGGTTCATTAGTATACCTTTAACTTTTTCATTATGTTGTCGACATAAACCCATTTAGTATAGTCCAGTAACAACTGGTACAATTATTTTATTAATGCCTTTATTACAAAAATAATAATTTAGTGTTGATGCGACAAATTATAAGTGGAAAGTCTATGTGCATAATACGTACATATCCGTGTGCCTTATGATTTATACATTATCGTACAGTATGTATACAACAAACCTCTAATTCGTTCAACTTCTGAATTCTAGGTACAAATGTAAACTTGTCCACATTCACAGCAAATGGTGGTTGCCAATCCTGAAAAATTAAATTGGAAAAGATTAATTGGTCATCAGAAGAAAAAAAATATGCAAATAATTTTTAAAAATTGTCTTCAAAATAAAAATTAAAATCGATGATCTGAATTAAAATGTTAAAATCCATTGACATCCCTGTTGGCTTAAATTATAGAAAATATTCAAAAGTATGTCCTCAAAGAGTTCTGATCGCAAATTTGTATCACATTGCAATAAATAATACAAATCAAGAAGAAAGTTTTGAAATTGATATTTAAATTTATTGAAGATTCAAAGCTTTTTATGCTAGAGAAAATCATAGAAACGCCTTTTGACGACATTGTCTCTTCTTGTTCACAAAAGAAATGGTTTTAGTAATAAAACGCATTTTCTTAGTCTTCCTTGTCAGCCTGACAAGGTTCACAATCATTGGTCTATATTGGATGGCACATTTGGAAGTCACAAACAAGGTCTGCTTTAAAGAGCTCATATAGTTACCTCTTTTGCAGAAACCTGCTTTCTTTTAAAAGCATTCAAGGTAATAATTCATAAAGTTAAACATTTTCAATAAAGTCAGGCAATATTGCTTGCTAGGTTCCTAACATAAGAAGAGGTCAATACAATAATTATTTTTTTTAAATTCTGGACATGTAAAAATAGGCCATTTTCTGTTTAATACATCTTTATTAACAATCAACAGAGACAAAAATGAACCAAAGAAAAAAAATCTAAGATTTATAAAAAAATATGAAAGAAAAATTCAGTGGATGGAACATTTACCATTTAAGCATTTTGCTTTGTTTTACTTAATTTCTCATACTTTTTGAAACACTGAAAGATTTTCATATTTGTAATTTTTACTATCATTATACTTCTAGTGATGTGATAAAACCACACAAGTTATGAAAAATACAGTAAGCCAATATTAATTTTAATATTTGCCATAAAAAATAAATTTTTCCTACTTACATACACGTAAAAGACAATAAGTAAAAGGTGCAATTAATAATGTCTAAACAAAGTGTAATAGTCAAGAAAAATAATTAAACTAATTTCTGATCACAGAACGCAACAATAATATTTTATTCTTAATTTAAAAAAAATTAAAACGAGAAAAAGATCAATCTGAGAAAGCTCAAGCTCATCTCTAAGATAAGAGAAGCCGACATCTTTCCCCAGCTCCTCCTCTACACACAATTCAGGTGATCTAACCGGCCAGTGGTAAATAATAATAAAAAAAAATGGTCTTAAATAACAAAAGCAGAGTGTTTGGTGAGTATAAACAAGTTCGCTGTGCAATACGACTACAACTGGGATCGCTTTGTTTAATATATGGCCTTGTACCTATGTAAATTTGGCAAATTAACTAAGGTTTCTATCTTGTCCGACAGTCAAATCCAACCAAACAAAAGAGTCGCCATGTTTGACTTACCGAATAGCACGCATCAACTTTTCACCTCATGTCTTCGCCAACAACTGGCCAAACAATACCATAATCAAACATCGATAAAAGTAAAATAAATCGCAAAAGATTCCCTAACAAGTCCCCCAAATTAAAACAATCAATAACAATGTTTACAAAAGAAAATTTAATGGAATAAAACAGTTTTTACACTAACCGGAGGTGGTTTTATTTTACAAATTCCAGTTTTCTCTGCGATAGACTTGATCTTGGCAATGTATCCAAGAGGATCGGTGAATTCTTCTACTGTTGGAGTAAACACCGGCGCATCTGGCGGTGATACAAAATTGTTGTAAGGAGTATCCAAAAGGGCCATATTCAAGAGGTAATGGCATCCAGTTAGCACGATCCTTTACGTATTGTCGAGAAAAACTGTAAACATAAATCCAAACAACTCCATCCAGAACGTGTGTGGGTATTGAGTGCCCAAGCACTCGCACAATGCGCCTACATCCGCATAGGAGAGGCCCTCACTTTCGTAGACTTCAGACTGTAACTTTTACAAAAATTCTCACAATTCTTTACATTTCTGATCTTAAAATAAGTTAAAACTAATAATTAAAATCAATTTTTTGTTATTTCCTTCCAACCAAAATTTGTTTTTATTTTTAAGCTTTTATAACTGGCGTACGAATATAAGAAATTTTGAGGTCACACTGGAAGAGGTCAAGTTCATGTAAAGAGAAATGGCTTGTCACATCAACGAGAAAATGAGCAGTTGTTTTTTTTTTTATTTTAAATATTTTTCAGTGTTTTTTGTCAGCGTTATAATTTTTCGATTTTTTATATAAAATAATAATCTATTTTGATTTTGTAATGTAAAAATAACATCGGCGAAAAATGTCCTTATCGTACTGGCTCGGAGCCCACAAACTAGGCCGCTAGATGGCGCAGCCAGTAGCATCCCAGCGGTGACGGTACACAGCAAAATGGCGACGCCTGAGTGGCTCAGGTAAATGAATATCACAAGTTTTTACTACCGACTTCTAATTGCTTGCTGAACCTACTGATATACGGACATTTTTTGCATACAGATTATTAGCAGAGTTAACACCAAAGTTGTCGATGTTAAGGTGTGGACTACGTACTTTTGCAAAGATGGAAGTTTTAACGGATTTTGTAACTCGTTGGGACATGTTTTGGGGTACATGTCCTTTTTTAGTTTTAAAAGTGATCATTTCGACGTTTGATTAAAAACAAAAGCAAAGTTTAAAATAATAGGCAATTACTAATGATCAAATACAAAAAAATAATCTCAAAATATCGGCTTCACATTAAAAATGTGTATGGTTTATTAAGTATAATAATTTGTTTTTAAAACCGATCGTTAACCAATAAAAGTTTTCTATTTAAAACTGACTTTTTCTGCGGATTTTTAACTTATGCCAAATTCTATGAAAGATTTATTTTAAATCTGCTTTGATTGCGAATAAAGATTTAATTTTGTACGTGGTTTGGGAGGGAGGGGGCTCCGAGTAAAATTTTTTAGACGAATCATAAAAAAATATTTGCATTAAAATCGTTAAAAATGAATGTTTTTAACACCTAAAAAAAAAAAAAAAATTTTTTTTTTTTTTTTTCCAAAATTTTCTTTATTGCATCCTCGATATTTGGGTGTTAAGTTGAAATATAAAGAGCTATTAAAAATCAGGTATAAACTTGTGCGCTGTTTTTAGGGAAAAGTTGTTTATGTCTTCAGTACGTTTTACGATGAAGTCGTCACGTGACTTTTTTGACCTTGTTTCGAATCTAGCTTTATGGACCATCCTGTGTATTAGTTTTTTTTTTTTTTTTAATTCTTTCTCTATTTTTTTTTCTTCCTCTGCCCATTACTATTATTATTATTAATTGCTTGAAATTTTCCTGTTTCTTAATACATTCTATTTTTGTAATATGACACACTTCTTCTTAACTCCTTACAACAAGTAAATTGCCTAGTTTGTATTTGAAACTTAATTTCACTTAGTAGAAGGAATTACATTTTTTATGTGAAAAATAAGTTATATAAATTAAATTTAAAAAAAAAATCTGTTTTTAGGAAGTTCTGAATAACTGATCGACCACCTGACAAAAATGACAAAAGTAAAAAAAAACTATTGTGATATAATGACTCAAAAAGCTATTATAAAATTTTATAGATTTTTTTTTGTTTTTTTTTTTTTTTTTTTTTTTTTCAGACTTTTAAATGTTTCTTGACTTTCAAATAAAACATTTATTTTCTGATTAAAACTCCCTACGAAAAAGAAATTCATCTATGAATTCCGTTCTTTATAGATTTATTCAAAATCTCTATCGTCATCGATTTTGTTGCTAGGGAAAAAGAAATCTTTAAAAAGAATCAACGATGGTATAACTGCTGAGTTCTCCATTTCTAGCCTTACCTAAATCACGTAAGCAACTTCTCTAATTAAAAATTCAGGTTTCTTTTATTTAATTTTACCCACTTTTTAAATGATCATACATAGATAAATATATTTTCATTTTTTTCCTTACTGTTGAACACAAACTACATGTCTTAATTTTATTAAAGAAAGTAAAAATCATTGTTCTTTAATTTTCATTTTTTCCTTTATTATTGTTACCAATAATACTATTCTTCGTTTTTGTTCCATTTTAAAACTCTTTGTGATAGTAATTTTATTTTCAAAAGCCTTGAAAACAAATATTATTTTTTTATGCAGAAAAAAAGTTTTATGGAACTATAATTTTTTATAATAATACTTTTTTGTTGCAAAAATGCAAATTATTTAATTTTTTTATTTATTTATTTATTTTTTTTTTACATGAATTTGTGGAAAAGAAATTGAGTGATAAAATAAAAAAAAAAACTTATATCTGATTAGTGATCCTTCAATCCCCGCCTCCAGAAAATAAATATGCAAATTAAAATTTTTTGAAAGTTTTAGTTTTATGATCTTTAGACTTAATTTTACTTTATTAAAAAAAATCTTTAAAATAATATTGCTGTAGTATTTTGAAGTAATATTAAAAAGAAATTCTAGAATATTTATGAGCCGAAAATTTAACTTAAAATAATTAGGCTTTTTTTTTTTTCATAATAATAAAATTACTTAAGATTTTTTTCCTCTTTTAAATCAGAAAGAAAGAATAATACAGTATTCAGCAAAGATCAAGATTTTAAAATTATTTGCATAACAATTTAGAAACTGCGCACTTGTCCATGAAACAGATTTTTCCTTATTTTTCCTTTAAATTCTTTTTATGCTATTAGTTTTTGTTGTTTTTTTCCCCAAATATTTGATTGTAAAATTATTTTGAAAAAATAATTTCAATAATTTTTTTGTAAATTTAAATATATATATTTTTTTATTTATTTTTGTTTTAATGACGATCTTGTCCAGTGTAGGAAGTGACTTTTTGTTGAACTATTTTTTTCTACTTAAATAAATTTATTAATTTGTGCGAGTTTTAAGCAAAGCTTTTTATTTTTATTTTTCTTAACTGTACAATTTAAAATCCAATTGATTGAAACTAAAAACTGATTTTTTTTTCTTTTTGATCTGTCTTACTTTTTTGGAGGTATTATTAAACTTCTAGTAAAAAAATTCCTTATTTCAATTTTCCAATATACCATCCATCGTCCATTGCAACTTTTTCGTGAAGTTGGGGAGGAAATGGTTTGATGAGTTTCATTTTTTCAAAGGTAGAGAAGCTAGTTATGAATATAGTGTTGTACTTGTTATAGATGAAATAAATGTTAATTTATGTACCGTCTTCTTGTCCATCTTTTGTTTGTCATTATTCTCGAAGTCTTCCCCCTGTAGACTTTATAAAATAATCCCTAATAATGGAAATTGGATAATAATAGTAAATGGCTACTATTGCTGTCTGAACGTAAAACTAGATGTTTTTATAAGGATCCTTTCTCTATGTAAAACTGATTAAAAAATACCATTTTCAAGATTCCTAAACGACTTTTGTGTATATCAGGCACTATTGGAACATCTCGCTAAAAAGACTGAATAATTTCAAGATGAATTACAAAATTAATAAAGTATTTATTAGCAAGATCATCCAAGATTCCTTGGAGTTTTTGTAAAAATTTTCCTTTAAAATCTCAGATTAAAGTAGACAAATGTCAAAGACAGAAGAGAATAGTTCAGAATAGAATCTTATTCTTGTCATTTTTTTATGCCTGGAATCAAACTTCTCTGATGCTCTTAATTTCATTTCAATGAAGGCATATTATATGTGTGTGTGCCAACAAAAATATCCTGTTTTAAATAAAATATTAAAATATTTATATTAAAAAAAAACTTCAAGAAAAACTGCCTGGTATTGTTGTTTATTTTGTGTTAATGAAATGTTTCTCTTTTCATTAGTTATTTTTTGTTTATATATCTATCCAATTGTCTTTTCTGCTTGTGTGTGGGTATATATATATATATAAAATGTGTGTGTGTATACTTGATTTTTTTTTTTTTTTTTAAGTATTTCATCATCCATTTTTATGCTCATTTAATATTCTGCTACCTGTTTTAACATTTGATATTGTTTTGGGCTCACATTTGTATAGCACCCAGTGAGGATCAGACTCACTGCATTAGTAGTAGCCTGCTGGGCTAACTGTCAGTTTGCCTCTAGCTGTTTTCAATACCTGATCGTCACCCATCTAAATATTGATCACAATTGATACTGTTTACTTTGATGAGCAAATTAATTGTTTTTTGTTTGATGTTAGCATTATTGTTTTAAGAATAGAAACAGTTCTAAAGAACAGTTCTAACAATTTTCTCCAAGAAATTATTGATGTTTTAACAGAGTTCTGTTGTTTCTTAGATTTGTCAGTGACAACTCAAATATTGAGTGAAGGGGAGAATAAGTGAAATGAATGTCACTTTTAAACTGATTTCCTGAAGGCAATTTGAAAATTGAATCTAAACAAAAACCCAGGAAGGATAAAATAATTGATTATTAAAAGGAGACAAAAACTATAGTTGTCAATGAGAATATTCTTATTTCATTTTAATGGCTCATCTTTCAATAAGATCTTAAAAGAATAAATCCTTCTTCCTGATGAGTGGTAATTAATATTATCTATTGCCTTCTCTTCCAATGGACTTTATTGATCCCAGAAATAAGACCACTCCTCTATATTATTGTTTTACATGTTGTTAAGGTAAACAGCTGCTTTATAACCTGATTACTGCTTGTAGATTTTTTAATGATGTAATTTTTTTTTTTTTTTTAATTTTTCTTGTAAATATGAAGTTTTCATATAATGTTTAAAATTTTTATTTTCATAGAAATCAACTTGTATGTCCAAAAGCATGTCAAATGTGTGTTTATTTTAATGAATATATCTTTTAAAAAATGATCTCTGCATAAGGCATAAAATTGCAATTATTCATTAGTTGTCATATTGTAAAATATGCAACTTTCCTTTTCATGGAGAGATGCTGTCACATCTTGTTAAAAGAATAACACTATCATAAGACAACTTATTTCACCTATGACAGCAACCTAACTTTTTCTTTTATTATTATTATTATTGGGGAGGGCATAGATAGTGGGCCTGGACTGTGCAAATCTGATGGCAAAGTTCAAATTCCAGACAAGTTTGTTACATTGACTTACATCCAAATGCTCTTGGGAGACATCTGAATTCATCCCTACTCCCAAACAGCTAAATAGAAGGACAGACTGGGTTTCTATAGCCTTGAGTGGCAAGCAGTCTGAGAGAAGGACAACTCTGAATTCAAAAACTGTATATAGCCCTATCAAAGTATATACTATGCAGCTAATGAAAGGATTGTAGAGTTTATAATGGCTATGATCTCAACTACTGTGTGATGGCAGTTGATTTAAAAGAAAGAAAAAATGTTTTATTATACTTAATTCCAAGTAAAAAAGAATTGCGATGATAACTCTAATTAAAAACTGTTTTACTGTACAACTTAAATATTTGTGAATTTTGAAATGGAGACTTTG